TATAGTTGTGCAAATATGGGCTGATGTTTTGATACTTGTGTGTAAGGTTTTGCTAATAGTGTACTACTTTTAATTTTAGTGTGCAAGCAATCCTAAAAAACTGTAACAGTGATGTTTCCTGTTTTCCAGACAAACACACTCAACCAATGGCTATTGCTGGACCAAGTTCATGTCTGAATATTAGCGAGTCCTAGACTATAGAAAGAAACGTCTTGAGTCTGGACTCGAGTACTACAGCCCTGACAGTCACCAACTTCAGCTTGTAGATCAAACTTTACTGTATAAAGAGCAACAGAACATGACCTGATCTTCATTCGTATATTAAATTGTGGACGATGATGTAAATAAACTAAAACAAACACAAACCCGCTCTCTTAATGTCTCTTTCACCAGCCTGACAGTCACATTCACACTGATGGAGCATTAGGGGACTTTTATTCTGTCAGCTGAGAAACACCTGATCAATAATCATGAGCGCTGACTCTCCTTCACACACAGCCTTTCTGACAGAAGATCTTCAGTCAATATATTGCTTCATGTGAATGAGTAATCAGGGTTATTTTCAGATGCATGTGTAGTAAATACATCAGTTCACCAGGTCTCTTACAGTAAACTGCTGAATACATGCTTATAGTGTGTCTTCATATTATTGTAGTGGTTTAGATCAGTGGTCTTCAACCCCCAGGCGGGTGCTGGTGCGTGGATCAATCAGTACGGGGCTGAACAAGAATGAATTATCTTTAAGTTGGCAGATAAAGAAGCTGCATTTAAACTGGATTTGTGGGGACGGCGCGTGAACAGAGGCATATCGGACGTGTTTCAAACATTAGCGTGGATTTTGTGTGAGACTGAGCCTGCGCCCTCACTCACCAAGCTGCTGCACGATCACCAGTCTTCACTGTTAAAAGAGTTTGAGAAACACTTTCGCATGTCGAGATGTACATGATACTGTATGTGTGTGTGCTGCGCCCACGGGCTGTTTCACAGGCACATGCAAAGCTTGAAGGTAAACAAACAACGGCTTATCATAAGCATCTTATCGATGATTATTTACACGGTTGGCATTAAAGGGAACATATAAACGTTATGTGACTAATTTCTAGCAGCTAAATGTGTCTGGAAAATTATGCAAAGACTTTTATTCTCATAAACCGCGCGGACGTGAATGCGTCTGACTGTTCTGATTGGCTAAAGCAGACGTCTCACGTCAGCACGTTCTAGACGTGCACGCGCTCTTTCCAGCAATCTTCCTTCTATGGACCATCTCGTTGCAAAGAAACAAGCTCAGGGCTCCCATTGATTTAGCGTTACTGATGTTATAATATGTTATATTGTTGGAGCAATGTGTTAATAAAGTTATTACTTCCTAATGTTATAATAGCATTGTAATGTTGGAGCAATGTGCTAATAAAGTTCCATATGAGTACACAGTGGATTCACGTTGACCGGTCCGCAGTTAGAAAAAGGTTGTGGACCACTGGTTTAGATAATATTAAGAGTGTCGTGAGACTTTTATATGTTTAGAAGAAACTGCAAACTGAACAAACAGCAGAGCATGTCTAAACTTCACCAGGACACAACAGATATAAATATAAAAATATAAAATATGAATAAATAATTCAGAGGTAATTCATTATAAAGATCCTTAAAATAAACTGATTCCTTTAACTTTAAGTCACATTTGGGTATATTGGAAAAAGAGAAGCTCTGAAAGTGCAACATTTCATAATAGACTAAGAAAAGCTTTTAAATATATTTATAGATACACATACATTATTAAAGCTATGATTAAAATCACAACCCTGTAAATGTTTTGTTTCTTCTGTCAATCCACTGAATGGAGCTCCACATCAGGTAACCCAATATGAAACTGTATCTGTAGAGTGGAGAATCATTTACCTCAGTGTGTCCAGTTTACAGTGTTGACTCTTCAGTCCATCAGAGAGAAGCTTCACTCCTGAATCCTGCAGGTCATTGTTACTCAGGTCCAGCTCTCTCAGCACACAGTTTGAGGATTGTAGAGCTGAAGACAAACTCTCACAGCACTGAACAGTGAGATTACACATGACCAATCTGAGAAAGAAGAACACAGATTACATTAACAGTGTGATTTCAGTCATTCATCTGATGTAAAATCAAACTATGAGGTTAATAATATGACAAAACTATTGTTATGTGTGTCAGTTAGAATTATTGACTATTGTTATTTAATAAAACTGAATATTAAATGTCATCTAATATATTCTTGATTATTTTGAAAGGTAAGAAAACTGCTAAATTTGAGTTTAGATAAGAGGACCACGAGACTTTATATATTTATGAACCTGCAAAATGCAAATGATCAGAGCCTGTCAAACCTGCTCCAATAAACCAATTCACAGATAAACTATAAATATAATCATTAAAAATATTAAATATAAATAAAGATTTAGAGGTAATAATCATTAAAATACACTGATTTCCTTTTGATTAAAATCACAACCCTGTATATGTTTTGTTTCTTCTTCTGTCAATCCACTGAATGGGGATCCACATCAGGTAACCCAATATGAAACTGTATCTGTAGAGTGGAGAATCATTTACCTCAGTGTGTCCAGTTTACAGTGTTGACTCTTCAGTCCATCAGAGAGAAGCTTCACTCCTGAATCCTGCAGGTCATTGTTACTCAGGTCCAGCTCTCTCAGCACACAGTTTGAGGATTGTAGAGCTGAAGACAAACTCTCACAGCACTGAACAGTGAGTTTACACATGACCAGTCTGAAAAAAAAAATAATAGTCAAAATTACTGTGTAATTTTTAGTAAGTTGTTTAATGCAATACATAATTATAATCCATCCATCCATCTAACAATCTACAGAAAAAAACATCTTGAGTCTGGACATTTTGCAGTTTACTCAGTAAAGCTTTTGAATATATTTTTTACAAACATTCATTATTAAAGCTATGATTAAAATCACAACCCTGTAAATGTTTAGTTTTTTTCTTCTGCCAATCCACTGAATGGGGCTCCACATCAGGTAACCCAATATGAAACTGTATCTGTAGAGTGGAGAATCATTTACCTCAGTGTGTCCAGTTTACAGTGTCGACTCTTCAGTCCATCAGAGAGCTTCTTCACTCCTGAATCCTGCAGGTCATTGTTACTCAGGTCCAGCTCTCTCAGCACACAGTTTGAGGATTGTAGAGCTGAAGACAAACTCTCACAGCACTGAACAGTGAGTTTACATGTGGCCAATCTGAGAAAGAAGAACACAGATTACATTAACAGTGTGATTTCAGTCATTCATCTGATGTAAAATCAAACTATGAGGTTAATAATATGACAAAACTATTGGAATTTGTGTCAGTTATTATTATTGACTATAGTTATTTATTAAAACTGAATATTAAATGTCATCTAATATATTCTTTAATACTTTGAAAGGTAAGAAAACTGCTAAATTTGAGTTCAGATAAGAGGACCACGAGACTTTATATATTTATGAACCTGCAAAATGCAAATGATCAGAGCCTGTCAAACCTGCTCCAATAAACCAATTCACAGATAAACTATAAATATAATCATTAAAAATATAAAATATAAATAAAGATTTAGAGGTAATTAAATAAAATAATCATTAAAATACACTGATTTCCTGAACTGATTAAGAAAAAGAGCAACTTTCATTTGAGAAGCAGCATTTTGCAGTTTCTCCACTAATGCTCTTAAATATATCTGGACATTTCCATCTCAATCAAAACACTTTTAATGTTGTAGAGTGGAGAATCATTTACCTCAGTGTGTCCAGTTTACAGTGTTGACTCTTCAGTCCATCAGAGAGAAGCTTCACTCCTGAATCCTGCAGGTCATTGTTACTCAGGTCCAGCTCTCTCAGCACACAGTTTGAGGATTGTAGAGCTGAAGATAAACTCTCACAGCACTGAACAGTGAGTTTACAGCTCTGTAGTCTGTGTAGAGGACAAAGAGCAACACAATCAGCAGTGAGAAATGAGCAGTGTTGAGTGTTCATGAGTTCAGTCTACAGTGATAAAAGCAACACTGGAAATAAACTATATATATATACTGCTCAAACAATAAAGGGAACACTAAAATAACACATCCTAGATCTGAATGACTGAAATATTCTTATTAAATACTTTGTTCTTTACACAGTTGAATGTGCTGACAACAAAATCACACAGACATGATCACTGGAAATCAAATGTATTAACCCATGGAGGACTGGATTAGGAGTCACACTCAAAGCTGTAGTGAACTGCAGGAATTACTGACACACTCCAGACACATGAGGTCCAGCATTGTCTTGCATTAGGAGGAACAAGAATATTATTTTATTTAAACACATCTTCTTTTTATTTATTTATTTATTTATTGAAAGTACATTAAACTAAACTAAAGATGTATTTCCCCATTCATATGACTGTACTGAATTATTGAACAGATTATTAATAACTAATCAGAGAGCATTTTACTGAGCTCAGTGTAAAGTTTAGTGTTTAGGCCTACAGTAAATGTAATATTAGAGGCATGTCTGCGGCGAGACGGCAATACTGTGTCTAAAATTACACTATTTCTCTGATCAGAAAACACACACAATTATCCAAGAGCAACACTGTGTTAGATTTGAGCAAATACACATCAACAAATGTCCTATTCAGCTGGAGGAGCACAGGGATTTACAGGGATTTGAGTTATTTTCCAGGATAAACTGTAAAGCAAATGAAGTAGATTATTAAATAAGTACAAATGTTGTTTGTGTGAGTAAAAAGTCAAGAAAAGTTTGTTAAATACGTTTAGAAATGCTGAAATAAATGAGCAAATAAGGAAACAGAACACTGCCGCCGCGTCCCCATGCAGTAATATGGTGTATCAGCGATCTCACAGGGGGACGATATGGCCAGCTAAAGATTTTCTGTTAAAGCAGGGCAGTGATTCACTAAACTGATCTGAGTCTTCAGTGCAGACTGATGTGTGTCTTCTGTGATCAATCAATGAATACTCACAGAGCTCTTCTGCAGTTTCTCACAGCTGCTGTCAGTCTCCGTCTTCCCTCAGCTGATGTGTTGAATTTATTAGAGTCTAACTCATCCAGCGGCTCCTCTGACATCTCAATCATGTAGGAGATTGTTGAGCAGTGAGCAGGAGAGAGATACTCCTCCGAGTGTTTGTCTGATTTCACAAACTCCTGAATCTCTCTGGCCAGAGTCTGATCTTTCACCTCCAGCAGACAGAGGAACAGATTGATGGATCTTTCAGCTGAGAGACGGTCATCTGTCTTGATCTTGTCTTTAATGTACTGTGTGATTTCTCTGATGCTCTCTGAGTTCTCCTCTGTGTGTGTCAGCAGATCCTGGAAGAGTCTCTGATTGGACTCCAGTGAGACGCCCAGCAGGAACCGCAGGAACAGATCCAGATGACCATTACTACTCCTGACAGCTTTATCTACTGCTGAACTGAGCAGATCATACAGAGACTTCTCAGAGCTGGACTGTAGATATTGATCATATGAATATTCTTCATCATAAATCACCCTCAGCGGTTCTCTGTTCTTTGTTAAATGGCAGTAAAACACAAAGAAAGCAGCCAGAAACTCCTGAAAGCTGAGATGGATGAAGCTGTAGACTTTCCTCTGATGAATCACAGATTCCTCCTTGAAGATCTCAGTGCAGATCCCAGAATACACCGAGGCGTCAGTGACGTCTATGCCGCTCTCAATCAGGTCCTCCTCATAGAACATCACATTGCCCTCCATCAGCTGTCTGAAAGCCACTTCAGCAAGTTTGAGGATCACTCCTCTGTTGGACTGCAGGAGTTTCTCTGGATCTCTCTCTTCATACTTCTGCTTCCTCATGTTGATCTGAATCAGCAGGAAGTGGATGTACATCTCAGTCAGAGTTTGAGGGATTTCTGCACTCACATCTTCTTCCAGGAGCTTCTGAAGCACAGTGGAGGAGATCCAGCAGAAGACGGGTATGTGGCACATGATCTGGAGGCTTCTTGCTCTTCTGATGTGGGAGATGATTCTGCTGGCTTGATGCTCGTCGCTGATTCTCTTCCTGAAATATTCCTCCTTCTGAGGCTCAGTGAATCCCTGAATCTCTGTCAGACGCTTGATGTATCTGGAGGGGATCTGATGGGCTGCTGCTGGTCTGGAGGTGATCCAGATGAGAGCAGAGGGAAGCAGATCTCCTTTCAGGAGGCTCCGCATCAACACAGCCACTGATGAAGATTCAGTCACAGCACAAACTTTCTCCTCATCTGAAAAGTTGAGTGTGATTCTGCTTTCATCCAGACCATCAAAGATGAACACAACTCTACACTGCTCATAAATCTTGGGCTCCAGATCTTCAAGTTCAGGATGAAAGTCCAGCAGAAGTCTGTGAAGACTGTACTGATGATCTCTGATCAAGTTCAGCTCTCGAAATGGAAGCACAAACATGAAATCTACATCCTGATGGTCTTTTCCCTCGGCCCAGTCCACAATGAACTTCTGCACAGAGACGGTTTTCCCGATTCCAGCGATGCCTTTAGTGAGAACAGTCTTGATCTGGGCTTTCTCCTTCTTGATCTTCTCCTCATGTCCTGCTCCAGCTGAGGCTTTAAAGATGTCATTGCAGTAGACTGGAGTGTGTTGTGAGGGTTTTGTTCTGCCTCTTTTCTCCATCTGTAAAACCTCATGTTCTTCATTCACTCCTTCACTCTCTCCTTCTATGATGTAGAGCTGTGTGTAGATGCTGTTCAGGAGGGTTTGAGTCTCTCCATGGTTGATTCCCTCAAATAATCTCTCATACTTGTTCTTCATGCTGGTTTTGTGCTGCTCTTTGACTCTCTGAAGTTCATCATGTTCTGGTTGGAGTGAATCCTGCTGCAGGTCTCCAGTCTGATCTTCTCTATCCACACTGCAGGAACAACAACAACACAAGGAATCAATGAGTAAACCCCATGGTTATACCTTATGGCTCGGAAATTATGTAAAAAAGAGAGACATCCAAGACAGATAACATTACAGAACACAATTTATTAAAGAGACTCTTTATAACATATAAAGTTTAATAAAAATGTCCTGATGAATACTGAAATACAGTTCATGTGTGAGCAATAATGTACAGCACTAAATACCTTTGGGCAGATGATGGTGATTTCTCACTGAATACTGGTGGATGACCCATTGACCCGTCACTCTTCAGAGACACAGCGCTGGACACACATGATCCTGATCTCACACTGAACACACCAGAGGAAAAGGAGCATCACAACCTCAAGGTTTTGTTCAAGGTGTAAGATAAATGTTTCATGAGTAAAATTTCAGCTCAATATAGCCATCAGATCATTATTATACTCTTCTGAACATGTGACCTGTGTCATTTGTGTGTCTCCTGCATTTAAAGTGTTTGATTGAAGTCAATATTCATATTAAATATATTGATGTGGAGTTTACTCACAGCTCTGTGCATTCTCCCATCACAATTTCTTTCTTTTTTCTACATATTTTGCTAATTCTACAGCAGAATTTATGCATGATGATTTTTATAAGTGTCGTAATATCAAAACTAAATCATAATCATATCATAACTAAAAACTTAAGATATGAAATAATAATAAAAAGTTTTAAAGTCTTATTTAATGTTTACAATGCAAATCCATTTAGATCCACATATTTGTTAAACACAGCGAGTCTCGTGTAATATTGACTTAAAGACAATGACTGTACAAACTGTACTGTAAATAAATCACATGAATATTTGTTATATTAGTCAATAATATTACTGAAATTAATTTATAAACTGAATAATATAAATGTGCTCACATTTACGCTGGTAAATAAATAGACTCAGTGGTGGGTTAAAAACCAGCATGTTTCTGCACACAGAGATTGTGTGTGGGTCCAGCTATTACTATTAACAGAAACATATAAGTTTATTATACCAAGTTATATATATATATATATATATATATATATATATATATATATATATATATATATAAATCACAAGGTGCAAGAGGTGAACAGTGTGATTTGTTGCTTTTTTCAGATCAGCACAACTGTAATGTTCATGTTTTGTGTCATGTTGTTAAAATAGTACATCTGTTTGCGCCACTTTGTGGACTCAAGGGTGTTACGGTCTATAAAGGAGGTGTGTTAAGTTGTTGGTCTTTGTTCTTCAGAGAAAGTGTTGAAATAATGGTGTAAAAACAGAGTCAATACCTGTGTTTCTCTGAGAGAGAGTCCTTTACTCGCTCCTCTGCCATACTGCAGCTAAAACACCAATACAGACATTAGCAGAGCTTTCAGGAAACAATCATACACACATACATATATATAGTCCTTAACATGAATGCAGTAATGCCTAGTTCAGACTGCGTGATTTTAGCCCCGATTTTGGCTCGCCGACAGGTTTTGAGAAATCGCCGACAAATGCCTGAAATCACAGGCAAATCGCTGCTCGTGCACGTGAGTGACAATCACACAGTATGAACTTTCAAAGACGCGATCTGAGAGATTCGCCGATGAGTCGGCGATGCCTGTGAGATATTTGGCGTGCTGAATATCTGGAGCTGTCGGCAATTCAAATCACGCCGTGTGAATTGAGTTTTGACTGAAATTAACATCAGCGATCGCCTACAGCCAATGAGAGAGCAGCTTTCACTTGTGTGTGCGTGTGTGTGTGTACCTGCTGCAGGCCAGCGGGAGGCTGGGGGAGAAGGTAAAAGCGCTCTTTTTCGGTTTATTTGGACCCACGAAATGGAGGAAAAACTAGTGGAGGTTTGACAGGACTCAGGAGCACCCGTGTCTGTTTGACGTTTCATACAGAAAGAAATTAGTTTATTATCAACTTAAGTTGAGGAGAAATGGCTAATTCCCTTTAAACCCAGGTGAGCAAACATGTACATGTTCTACCCCATTAAAGGCTTCTTTCTCATTATGTAGTTAATAACAAAAGATATACGACGTGTTTTTGGCTGTGAGACGTAGTTTGGACGAAGTTGTCGGCGATTCTCCCTATAGTAAAGTCATGCAATGTGAAAGTCCCTGTCGCCGATCCATCTTGCAGTGTAAACAAAGCAGCGACAAAACGCCAGCGCAGATAGTCATGCAGTGTGAAAACATCTGTGACACGATGACTTTGAAAATCATGCAGTCTGAACTCGGCATTAGTTTAACCCTGATCTGACATCTCAGCTGTTTCACATTTGATTTAAGGTAAATGCATGTTATATAGAGTTTATCAAGAGAAGTTCAGGTTCAGCCAATTGTTGATTTAGTGAGTATTAAAATGTCTCTCTACTAAAGAGGCTCTTTGGTTAATGAGTTACTCTGACGGTCAAAGGTTAAATGCAGTGTTGTTTAAGGATCGTCAGCTTGTTGTTTTCAGCAGCTTTTCTTCCTGTTCAACTGAAGGTCTGCTTTAACTTTACTTTTGATTTGGTGACTCTGAATGTTTAGAGTTATATTTAATGCTGAATTATTGGACACTATTGAGTCAGTCTGATATAGAAGAGCACAAACACTTTAAAGGGATTAAAAATAAAGCTTTTAGACACAGTGTTTAAATGAGCGTGTTTGACTCAGTGTTTAATCTGTGTTTGAGGATTTGATCTTCAGGATCAGACATTTAAATCACACTCACACATATAAACCCTTCATCATCTCCACAAATCAGCGTAATGTAGAAGTGTTAAACTCACATGCAGAAGTACAGACGCTCTTGTGCAGCAGGAACACAATCTGAGCTCTTTCACTCTTTCACTTCACTAAAACACACCTGTGTGATCTACAGGTATATCCTCAAATATTACTGGCTCCACAGAGTGACACTGACATGAATATTCATGAGACTCTCCTGACTGTGGGCGTGTCCTGAAGACGACACACAAACCACTGGAGCTGAAGATATCTGTGCAGATTCTCTGAGCACGAGTGTGTTGAAGGAAGATTTAGAGAAGGTGTTTAAGATGAAATCTAAGAGGTCTCTGGAGAATATTTACAGTAATGTTGAACCTATAAAATAAGATTAGAGATTTATATATAAATGAGTACACCTCATACAGATCTCTCTGCTATATTATTATTATTTTCTGTAAGATACTGTTTAATAATATTTAATAAGTGTGTTTATACATTATATTAGTCAGTACCAAAGGCAAAACTGAACTAACTGAGCAAAATAACTGAAGATCACAGTGAAGAGAAACAGCACACACAAATGAATAATGTTTAACCAGAGGACAAATCAAGAAAACCATTAAACAGCATTACATTCAGTTCAAATGTTGTAGTTTGTCTTTTATTTATTGTTTGCAGCACATAATGTGAATGTACATGTGTTATCTCTCTATTTCTGAAGGGGTTTTTAGACTCTTATTTTAATCAATATATCTGTTTATCGATACTCTCTATTACAGTACAGATGTTAAATACTATTTTTGTTTGATCATTTCTAAAAATTCAGGATAAATGACAATAAAATAAAATAATTTTTCTCAGAAACTGGAAGACGGGTTTGTCGTGTCTTGGTTGTGAGAAATTATTTATTATTATCAGTAAAATCAAATTTAGCAGCTCTTATTTATTTATTTGTTCTTTTTTTACATGTTTAAAGGGAAATAACATTAGGGAATATGTAGTTATACACAAATCATTATAAAGGGAATGTTAAATTAAATACAGATAACTTAATCATCTGAATAGATCTTTACAGTAACTCTGTATTGAAATCAGGGAATGATTAAAACCTTTAGATGGGTGGAAAAGAGTTGACAGATTCAGGATCAGTTAGCACATTGTGTTTAGTGAATGTGATGTTTTCCAAGTAGTGTAAGAGTTTTAGTTCACAATCCATAAACAAGATTATCTTAATCAGTTATAATGATCAATTTACAGACACTAAAATATAATAATGAGATCATGAGGAACCAGAATAGTTTAGTGTAATCACAACTGAAACAGTCATTTAATAATAGTATCTGACTCTCATTTTTACACATAAAAACACATAAATCATTACATGGGTAATGTCTATTTTAAAATGGCTTTCCTTTACTTTATTAAGAGTATGTGTGTGTGTGTGTGTGTGTGTGTGTGTGTGTGTGTGTATATATATATATATATATATATATATATATATATATATATATATATATATATATATATATATATATATATATATTGACAAAACACAATGAACAAGTGTCTTTTGTTCATGAAGACACTGATGTAGTGTGCAGAGGTAAACTGATATTTACTTTTCAATATATTCTTCATCAGTTAAATAACATTTTTATTCATTTTAATGCTTGTGAAGGACTGAACCACAAAGAATACACGATCAAATTAAATCAGAGAGGGTGATTGTGCTAAATATTCTATTAATAATGTATTCAAAATTAACATATTTTCATTTTTTAGCTTTTTACAATAGCTGGACATGTTTTGTCCAATATCTCAAGAATCAGTGATATGTATAAATATATATTGTAGACATAACAATAACAACAAGTAGTGATATGATAACAGTGCCTTCTAATGCTTCTCCAAACAGTTCTTCACTTTATTTGAGAAACCCCAAACGTCATCCTGTATGACTGACCTAAATGTCTTCTGTGTGCTGTGAGAAGTTAGCGATTGATCGGGACTTTTATTTTGGCGTGGTGCTGTGACGTCATTAGCCCGGGCTGCTAGCACTCGTGCGTCTGTGCCTCCACAGGAGAAAGGTTTGTGTTTTTAAAGCTTTTGAGGAGGATAAACTCATGCAAAGCGCTCGATTAAAGTTGAATGTCTTCACACGTGACGCTGAGAGATGTGTCATTTAAACATGATAAGGCTTTATAGAGTGCGCTTGAACGCTTTTAACAGTAACGAGTGCTGCTGTTATGATGAGTTCATGGAGATGAATAGCAGAAATATGCGTCACGACAACTGTTTATAAACCCTGCAAACGTTTACATGAAGATTAAAGCAGATATACATCATAAAACGAAGTGATAATAGTCTGTGTTGATCTGTAAATGTGTAGTGGTAGTTCAGTTCTGCTTGTTTGTGTTTTATCAGACTGTTTACCTGAAATCTTTCTGATATATTATTTAACAGAATAATACTAACAGAAAGAAATCAACTGTTGAATTTATTGAAGAAAGATGGACCCTGTTAAACTTGAGAGTGAAGATGTGAAGATTGAAGAAGAGGCGCTTGCAGTGAAAAAAGAGGAGTCTGAGGAACAGACAGGTCGGTTTATTAAAGCTCAGTTCATCTGTTCACTAAACATCTCCAACTAAAAGTAGCTCATGACTTACTGAGGTAAAGTTGGTTTTATATTCACACATTCAGACTTTCTTCTTAATAATATCACTTCAGAAAATGATTCTGTGTAAATTCTGAATAGTGAAATCATATGTTGAGGTAAAGTTGTTTTTATATTTGCACATTTGTTCGCTTTTGGTACTGTGACAACTTATGACAGGCTACTGTAAATATCGGCTCTGAAAAAAGGCATGTAAGATTGACTTTAACACGACATCAACACTGTTTAATTGACTGTTAATATTGTACTTTGATTGTCATTATATGATAATATGATTTAACAATTTTGAATTAGCACAGAATGATTTTCTGAAGTGATATTATTAAGGAGAAAGTCTGAAAGTGCGAATATAAGACCAACTTTACCTCAGTAAATCACATTATCAGCCAACAACTATTAAAGCACAACATTGTTCACAGTCAGTTGAACAGTGCTGCTGATGTTGTCATGTTGAAGTCATTCCTACACGCCATTTCAGAGCCAGTATTTAAAGTAGCCAGAATTAACAAATATAAAAGCTACCTTACCTCAATTCATAACTCTATTCATAACTATTGTACAGTTGTTGTTTTTTTAGTATACAGTTGAAACCAGAAGTTTATATACACTCTAAAAAGAGGAACATAACCATTTTTTTTCAATGTCTGATTGTAAATCAGACTAAACGTTTACTATTTTAGGTCCGTCAGGATTACCTAAATCATTTACATTTGCTAAATGCCAGAATAATCAGAGAATTTTGTTGTTAATTTCTAGACAGTTAAAAGTTTACACACATTTCCTTGGTATTTATTTAATTTTGCTTTTAAACTATATAACTTTGGTCAAATGTTTTGGGTCTCCTTCTTTTGTTGTTGATTCTGGCTTGTTGATTTCCCCATGTTGTCACACAAGGAAGCAGTGTGTTTGAGCTTTTTCTTCAATACTATTCTACACCTGTGCCTCACATTAACTCAAATGTTGTCAATTAGCCAATCAGAAACTTCCAAAACCCTGACATCATCATCTGAGCTTTTCCAGAGGCAGAATAATCTGATTGTATGTAAACTTGACTTTCAAGGAAATTTAGAACAATTTCTTAAACAATATCTCTCTCATTATTCTGCCATTAAGCAGAACAGAAACACATGTGATCATCCTCACTTACCTAAAAGAGGAAAAGTTTAGTCACATTAACATCTGACTCTATTTTTAAATGATTATGTGCCTTTTTGTACAGCAGATGTCAACTTCTGCTTTCATCTGTAATTATTTTTAGGGTTTTTTCACCTTGATTGATAGGACAGTGGAGGGTACAGATTGGAAATGGGAGCAGACAGAGGGAATGGTTGGCTAGAACCACGAGCAGGGAATCGAACTCGGGTCGCCGTGAGCACCATGGTGCTATATGTCGACACACTAGGCTATTGGTGCCAACTGGTGCAGTTGCTTTGATAACATTATCTCAAACTATGTCAGAGTTTAATTAATTTAATAGTATGCAACATATTGAAAATACGTGTTCGGTAGTGTGTATATATATAACGTGTGTGTATATATATATATATATAACGTGTTTATATATATAACATTAAGCTCATGCTAATGTGTTGACGTCACAATGCCATTTCAAATATTGAAAGTAGCCAAAAACGGACGAATGTTCGAATATAAAAACAACTTTACCTCAGTTCATAACTTGCCCATTTGGGAGGAAATCTTTTAAATATTGGACATTAGGGCTGCACCATATTGGAAAAACTCTGATATTGCCATATTTTGTTTTGCTGTGATATGAATAAAATTTCAGCAGATGATTTGAACAGCTCTATTTGGAAATTCTCTTCTCTCTATTTCTGTGCAGTGCGTCTGCATAAATTATAATAAAATACAAGCCAAAATAAATATATAAATGAACAGTGGTTTATTTTTCTCGAGATGGGGTACAGCTGGAAGGGCATCCGCTGTGTTAAGTTGTTGGTTCATTCCGCTGTGGCGACCCCAGATTAATAAAGGGACTAAGCTGAAAAGAAAATGAATGAATGAATGAATGAATGAATGAATGAATGAATGAACAGTGGTTTTTCCGGGGGAGTCTAGCAGTATTCAAGTACAGAAATTGAACAATCAAACGTAAAATACCATGGTCATCATCGTATAAATAATCCAAAAAATGATCAAATTTAATAATATCTTGATCTTTTAATGTTTAGTAAATAATCTAATCCTGCGATGTGACTATTGCAGATACACTCATTGCGATATCGATGCTTAAACGATATATTGTTCAGCCCTAATGGACATGTCAGCCAGCGCTAAATTTGGAAATCCTTAAATTTTGCTCTCAGAGTATTTCACAAACACTACATTAGAGAGTCTTATGTAGTATATATATATATATATATATATATATATATATATATATATATATATATATATATATATATTCTTGTAAACAGTGTTAATATTGCAACAGGAACCATACACCTATACTTTTGCAATGCACTTTTTTTTTGTTATCAGACAATGACTTTTATATGGAGAGATTTATATAATAAAGAAATATTTTTAAATGTGAATCCTTCAAAAATGGTAAAATCTTTTAGAAAAAAACCCTTAAAGACAGTTTTAGATTGTATACCTTGCGTATTACGTATTGCCAATGATGACCTTTTATTGTTTAATTTTACTTTCCTTTAAGTGCTTTATGAGTTTCTGTCTTCTGTTGAACAGGTTCAACTCAGCCAGTTCTGCAGCCAATGATGGGTGAGTAGATGATATAGATCATAGGTCTCAAACTGGATTCCTGGAGGGCCGCAGCTCTGCACAGTTTGGCTCCAACCCTAATCAAACACACCTGATGCAACTAATCAAGGGGTTCAGGATTACTAGAGACTATTAAGCAGGTGTGAGCTGGAGCTGGTTGAAGCTAAACTGTGCAGAGCTGCGGCCCTCCAGGAATTGAGTTTGAGACCATTGATATAGATGAATGTTCAGCCTTTTAAAATAGTTTCTTTATTTTTTTTGGTCTTGTTTTGTTTTAAAAGCTTTTAATCATTTAATCAAGGAGTTAAGCGGCAAGCGAAGTAGGATACACGGACCAATAATAATTTGTATGAAATACAACCTGAACATTCAAACTGATTGGGAATACCTTTTATTTATTTATTTATTTTGTTTAACCTAGGCATTCTGGTCAAATGTACCCACTGGCCTCTGTCCATCATAAACATCCCCTTATCATAATTGGCTTCATCACTCTGTCTCCCCTACACCAATGTGTGCGGTCTGACGCAATATGGCTGTCGTCATGTCATCCAGCTGGATGCTGCACACTGGTGGTGGATGAGGAGATTCCTCTCCCAAAAATGTGTTGAGCGCTTTGAATGCCCAGAAAAGCACTGTATAAAAGTTAGAAATTAGTATTTGTAATATTTTTATAATTATACAAGATTTGTGTGATATTTAAAGTGATGAAATATTGGATATGCAAGATTAACTCATGTTTTTTTTTGCTCAAAGGTGAAGACCGCACTCAGTGTTCTGCACAACTCCTTATTTTTGATTATCTCCATTATGGGCATTAAAGGATCTATTTGTAGTGTATCCAGTGGCTTTAATTGAGCTAAATGAGTTCAAACTACTTGTCTAAAATGAGCTGAAACAACACAATTCTTGAGTTTTTTGAGGGCAGCCTAATCGTTTTATGTTCAATCCCCTCAAATTCATAAAAACAAATGAGGGCGTTTTCACACTATGCTATCCGAACCGTGCCCAGGCCCTTTTACCGGATCGTTTGAGAAGTGTGAGTGCTCTGAATTTCGGTTCACTTGGGCTTTGGTGCGGTATGCTTATAGTGTGAGTGCAAAACGTGCCAGAGCCCGAAACTGAACGTGAGAGATGACTGTTTGATATGGGTTTATTAATCATTCTTACCGTTTAATGAACACAAACTGTCATAGATTATTAAAGACGCAAACCCCTCACTGCACGACAGCTGCACCTTCAGCAAACCTCCTAATTCCTGCAGTACCAGAACTTTATGATTGTTTATGAGGGTCAAAAGTGGCTGATCTGTCTGGCAAAATATTTGACTGTGTCACTGCATATCAAACCACTAAAACGATAAAACTAGAGAAGTCTCCAGAGCGCTCACTAAACAGCGCAGCATCGATGAGGTAAGCGTGCCCAAGCATGAAGACGGGAGAGGGGATAAACGTGCTTTGGCCCAGTTCAAGGCAACTGTACATAGTGTGGGTACGCCCCAATTGAACTTATTTCCTTCATGTTGTCCAAACAGAAATCCATTGAGTTGAACCCAGCATTTTTTAGAGTGTATCTAGGATTTTGTAACTTCAAGTTTAAGTTTGTCGATGGTTTAATTCCCTGGTGTGTGAAAATTTAATAATACAATACCATACACCGTGTCTGAGGGGTTATCACACACCGGACAAGCACTTTCTATATACAAATATAATGTTATTTAATATAAAACAATGCAGATGTGGTGGAAGGAGTTTGAACTTGTTTTTGCTGCCCAAAGAATATCTGCAGCAATAAAAAGACGTGTCAGGGAGCCTATTGTAAAGCTTTAGCCCGGTGTTGAGGCTCTCGGAGATGGTTTTTTACTTATCTATATAAACTTACAGTTGAAGTCAGAACTATTCGCCCCCTTTGAATATTTTTTTCTGTTTTAAATATTTCCCAAATGATGTTTAACAGATTGAGGAAATGTTCACAGTATGTCTGATAATATTTTTTCTTCTGGAGAAAGTCTTATTTGTTTTATTTCAGCTAGAATAAAAGCAGTTTTAAATTTCTAAGCATCATTTTAACAACAAAATTATTAGCCCCTTTAAGCTATATTTTGTTGTCTGAACAATCATTATACAGTATATATATATGCTTAATTACCCTAACCTGCCCAGTTACCCTAATTAACCTAGTTTTAACCTTCAAATGTCACTTTAAGAAGTAATAGAAGTGTCTTGAAATGTGTTGAAATAATCTCAGTTAAACCGAAATTGGGGGGAAAAACATATAAACAGGGGGGCTAATAATTCTGACTTTAACTGTATACGTATACACATCAAATTTCATTATGTCATGACCCTTCTGTTGAACAGGTTTATCTCAGCCAGTCCTGCAGCAAGTTATTGGTGAGTACATGAATGTTCAGTTTGTGGTGGACTGTCACTTTAAGACTTCTCTCTGTTGCTCAGTAAAAGTGTCTCAGCAGCTTTGTCTATAGGTTTAAGCAAAAACACTGTCATTTCTGTTCTTATACAGATTTCTGAATTGTTTGATACAGATACCATCATGATGATAACCTCCAATATTATTAATTTTTCTTCTTCTCTTGTGTTTGGTGCACACCGAAATCCGAACACCTTGTCAATTGCCCTTATGCACAGACAACATTGTTAAATGTTCAGCTTGAGCTGAATTATTTGCGGGTTTAGGCTTAATATGAAACGCGAGGGCTGCACAATATAAAAAATAAATACAAATATACCAAAAAAATGTGGGCATTGATGGCACTCTGTGTGATTTTGTAATAGACACATGGCAAGATTTGCAATGTTGACTAGAGTTCATATTTTGACTGAACCACAGAACATTTGTGGATTCTCAATATATTAAAAAGTCACTTAGAGTGTTATTTATATATGAAATATCCATATCGCAGAGAAGTGCATTAAATTTCCTACATTTTATGTGCCAAACATTCACAGGTTGTTCGGTCACACTTTACAATGAGGTTCATTAGTTAATGTTAATAAAAGCATGTACTAAGATGAACAAACAATGAACAATACATTTACTACAGTATTTGTTCATGTTAATTAACGTTAGTTAATGAAAATACAGTAGTTCATTGTTAGTTCATGTTAACTCATGGTGCATTACCTAATGTTAAGCATGGACAGTTATGATTAATAAATGCTGTACATGTGTTGTTCATGTTAGTAAATGCATTAACTAATGAAACTTGTGTTGTTCTGTCTAGCTCAGTCCTGGAGGGCTGGTGTCCTGCATAGTTTAGTTCCAACCAATGATTGTAAAAAAAAATGGACGACGCGACAGCCCCTTTTCCCATTGAACGCCTTGAGGGCAAAACGCCTGCTTGACGGGCACAAACTGTCGCAAAAGACTGCTGAAATTGGAGCCTTGACATGCGCAGAAGGACTGTCTGATGGAGCCAGAGGAGGAGCCGCGAAAATGAGCAGAGTCGAGCTTCCAACCAAACGCTTTATGTAAAATCAACCACGCCCCCCGAACTTCTCAGCATGCGTTTGCTGTCATATCAACACAAATGGATGTAATAACGTTAACAAATATGAGGGTTTTATATATTCAATCGCGCCAGCTCCGGGCCGCAGCGCATAACCTACTCGCGGCGTCGCGGGCTGATTCCGACTCGCATGCGGCAGCGCCGGCTCGCTCGGCCGCCGCATCTGGCTCGATTGACTCGGGCTGGAATCGGGCAGTGAGTCCAGGCATCCGGAGTAGGTCCAGCAGAGGTAGTCAGTCTGAGGGGTAAGTCTCCGGCAGGCGAGAATCTAGCCAGAAGTGTATTTTGCTATCTGGGTGGTTAGGCGTGTATCAGCAAACTAATAAAGCCCATAAAAAGCTCTGACCTTAGCGAATAAACAGTGTTCCACCAGATCATGTATGTCAGAAACTATAGTTTACTGCTGAACTCATTTTGTCATGGTAAAATAACACAGAAATCAATTAATAACACTTCAGTCTCCTGCCGAAGCTCAGACGCCGCGCTTTGAGAAACTGTCAATCACAGCTGTCAATCACGATGACACGCCCAGCATTAAATTACTGCTAAAAACAAACTGTTTACAAAAATGAAGATCTGCACCTATTTCAGCACAATAACCAGTGCCTTAATCCACCAGAACTATCTTTCAGGACTTTTTATTGCAAGTGTAATAATTTTTTTTATTTGGGCTCAAGTCTCCTTCATTAACGGAGGAGGCGGGCTTTATGACTTGTACTGCAGCCAGCCCCCAGGGGGCGATCTAACGGCCGAGACCTTCACTCAAACGCAGGCTTGCGGCACACTTGGTTCCAACCTCCTTCAACACACCTGCCTGCATGTTTCTCGTATACCTAAAAAGAGCCTGATTAGCTGCTTCAGGTGTGTCTGATTGGGGTTGGAAGCAAACTTTGCAGGACACCGACCCTCCAGGACAGAGTTGTGACACCCCTGCTTTCAGAGATGGGTAGTACGAGATACATTTACTTAGTTATATTTACATTATTTCTAGCGTTGGGTTTTCCACACGCCAGCACTCTTCTCTAAGCCTGGAAGTGTGTTTGTATAGTGTTGATCCTATCAGAGATGTTTTGACTTTACTCTCGAGTGCTTGATGAGTTTGTTTGTTCTGTTGAACAGGTTCAGCTCAGCCAGTTCTGCAGCAGATGATGGGTGAGTAATGCGTAAATGATAGCTGAATGCATTACTATAACTCATATGGATATGGTGATCATTGTCTTGTGCTGGTTCACACTAAAGCAGAGCACACTGATGTTCGCTCTTATACTAGCAGGACGTTTTTCACCTCACACAGTGTTTCCACTCAAGAGGTGTCCTGATTTGACTCTCCCTCAGGAGGTTTACGGGTTTCTGTCTTCTGTTGAACAGGTTTAAGTCAGCCAGTTCTGCAGCAGATCATGGGTGAGTAAATAAGGAGCTAAATGTTCAGTTTTGGGTGAATTAACCCTTTAAAGTCGGGCATATGTGCAATTTCAGCATGGTACCAACTCAGCCTGTATGGGAAGATCGCATGTGATGTAAAGCTAAAGCTCAGGATTAATGAGCACACACTATACAGACTGTGTGTGTGAACTCAACACGTAACACTCGCTTCTTCCTCTGTCATGTTTAACGGTGGTTTGTAAACCAGCATATGGTTTATTTACGCCACTCAGTGGGAAGGAGCGTGAAGCTCGGTGGAAAGGAAGAAATTCAAAACCGCAACAGATGAATTTTATTTCCGAATCACACCTGTATCTCACACATATATCATTCAACCATCCGAATGCCAATCAGTAGAGTTTAATCACCTCAACACTCAACAAAGCTGAAATTCAGCTCAGAATCGGACCCTAAATTGCACAGTATATGCCTGGCTTTAAACATCCCTCTGATGCTCAGTAAATGACTCTCAGCAGCCTTGTGAACAGGGCCGGGACACACCAAGCCGACACAAAACACGAATTCCAACTGTGTTGTCGCCCTCACATCTGGACCAATAAGCTGTACATGAACACACCAAACAGACGAACACTCACTGAAACGAGAGCCTCGTTCTGTGCCTACATAAGAGGACGTCTTTCCTCACCAGCAGGGGGCAGAATCTGAATGCAGGAAAACAACAGCCAGCCTCTTCATGTTTCTTCTTGGCTTGAATTGTTTACTTGGCTTCATCACTTCACTATTACACACCTTACTGAACATCGTTGCTCTCTTCAGCCGATGGCGATTCTACATGTTCAATCAAACCAGTGAGCTCCAATGTTAACGAAAGGCAGCAAGTGGAAAACACCAAACACACTAGCCGGACCAATGCTGACCAATGAAGCCACAGGTTGACCGTCAGCTTGGTGTGTCCTGGCCCTTATTATTTTTCTGATTTCACACACCGCCGTCATGCATCTGTTAGACTGTCCGGCCGCTACACTTCTTGACAGTTTTCTTTCGTCATCATCACGTTATCGGACATCCAGGCATATGAATACATCTGTGAATGGATTCAGAATCCAAGCCTTCATGAGTTTCTGTCTTCTGTTGAGCAGGTTCAGGTCAGCCAGTTCTGCAGCCAGTGATTGGTGAGTACATGATGTTCTCCGCAGCTTTGTGAACGGGTTTAAGAGAAAACGTTTACATTTCTGTTGTTCTTCAGATCTCTATTAGGCTGTGTTGGGCAGTAGCGTCGCTACAAGTAGTGACACTACTAGCTTAGCTACATTTCTCAGTAGCGTGGCTGTAGCGTCGCTACTTTCTAAATCAATTAGCTTTTCGGTAGCGAAGCCATTTTATTAGTCAAGTAGCGCAGTAGCGTCCACAAAGCTACATTTACCAATCGCGGATCAATAAGCGATGGCACCGACATTCACAGAGCTGTGAGGCCGGTGTTTGGCTGATGAAAGTAAATCCATATGATAGCGAGCATGATGATTTCTTCTTCTTCCTGTTTTACGGTGGTTGACAACAAACTTTTTGGTGCGTTACTGCCACCTAGGGTTGTAACAATATACCGGTATGACGGTTTACCACGATTTGAACGTGCACGATTATCATACCATGAACAATTGCATATCAACGGTTTTAACCCTTAAAGACCGAGACAGCCGCCCGCGGCTAAAAATAAGTATTGCTCTTAAATGTTTAATAACTTTTGATCCGCTGAACCGATTCATACAATTCAAAGATTGGCATAAAGAAGAGAATCTCAGCTTTCCAGTGATGTATCACATACCATTCAGACTTTTAGAGGCTCCGGAATCAGTGCGGTTACGTCATCAACATTTGACAACGCTGATTTGACAAAGAAACGCTCGTCACTGTGTCTCCGGACAAACCAGACATGATACATTGATGCATTGTCCCTCCTCCATGCCCAGATTGGTTCAAACTCGCTATATCACAACCAATAAGCATAGGTTTCGCTTTTGTTTGTGGACCAACATGAGCTTTTTGAACAACACGGAATGAGAGATAGGCATACATTTATGCGCGGCTAAATAAAACGCAAAAAAAAAAGTTTTGCATGAAATAATTCTCATACTAAGTACTTTTGCATGCACAGCAGCACAGAAACATGACAAAACAGTGACACAGCAAAGACGAACTGCTGCTCTTGCTGTTTTCAAAAGACGCAAATGAAGATGCAGCTGTTTGTCTGCATTGCATACAACCACATCCAAATCCATGCTGGCACATAGAACCTAAGGATGTTCCATATTGAATCTAGTTTCGTTATGTAACTATTTATAGTATAGTAAATATTTATATCTATTTTTTACTGAGGATTTGCACCATGTTTATTTGGACTTTGACACATTATTTATTATTTTCTTATTTTTATTTGTTAATTGTAAGTGGTGTTGTTTATAGTAACTAAAAATATATTATTTGGAAAAAGTCAAATTTGCTTCACTGTTCTATTATTTTGTAACATTTGTAACATACCGTATACGGCGAAACCGTCAAACCGTGGTATTGTTTTAGACGATTATCATACCGTGAAAAATTCATACCGTTACAACCCTACTGCCACCTCTGGTCGGTGACGTCGCCAACCAAATTAGGCTAATTCGAGACACTTGCTTGATGGAAAGAGGAGGTTAGGACGAGGAGTTATTTCTGAACTGAAGTAGGATTTCTGTGACCATACCACGAGAAGTACATGTTAAGATGCTATAACTTAATTTCTGATGCTGTGCTCAAAAATTACTTATAGTAAATGCTTCTATAAATTACTGCATTATGTAGTGTAATTTATTAATAAAGATATATATGTATATATGTGTATATATATATAATATATATGTGTATGTATATATACAATATATATGTTAATATATATATATATATATATATATTATATATTATATATATATATATATATATATATATATATATATATATATATATATATTATATATATATATATATATATATATATAATATATATATAACAGTCCGCTTTGTGCAGCATCTGTTTCTTGACTATTACGCCAGAATGAGAGTATGGTTCCTAGTAATATTGGCCTAGACAATAGGGTTTTTCATTCACTGTTTCATTGACCACATATATGCGCCTCTACTAAATGGACATGATTTCAGTCTTTAAATCATTCTCCGATCGATCGGCGATTATATTTAATGACTCCATCGGAATCTACCAATCAGTGGTGCTTTTCCCAAAACCATCATTAGTCAACTCGGGTCGCAAGTTTCGTCATTACAAACGTAGTTCATTGATTTGCCATGAGCTGTAGTTAGAGACAGTTCCTGGCTGTGTTCTATTCCCACTTATCCCCCCTATGCCCTATTCATTTAGAACATCCTAACATTTAAACTTGGAATGATTAAAAATAAAAAAGCATTAAGCTCATCTCTCTTAAGTATAATTTGCTGAATTTACAGTTCAGTTTTAGCAATCTTCATGTTTACATTTGTGTTCCCTTCGCAGTGCCCTTTGGAAACATTGATGTCATTTTGAACACAGCCTCATAGCGAAAGCTATAGGTTACCTATTATTTAAATTCGTAATTTATGTTATTAAAACAAAAAAACACAGCATATGTTAATGCTTTTAATTTATAGTGAGTTATTTATTAAGTATCTGTACTGTATATGACATGGACCTGCTGGTTAGAACATTTCTGCAGTGGTTTGCTTGTGTCAAATTGTATAAGTAGACTTAAAAAAAAAACTACAAATAAATAAACAATATCCTACTTAATAATCATAATAATAATCATTAATATTATTATTAAAATATATATTTTTAATTTTCGGATAAATATAAATGTAATTTCTTAATAAATCGCCTCATTATTTATATTATTTATATATGATATTAGAATACGTGTTATCTTTTGTTAGTGATTTTATATTTTAGAGTAGGATATGTAATATTCTCAATAGTATTTGTAAAAAAAACACACAGGCCCTTCATCTGCCATTTACATATATTTCAACACTTGTCTCTACATCGTTCTTTTCACAATCGATGCATCCTACTATGATAGCTCAGCCACGAGTTACGTCGTTGTTTGGGAAACGCACCCCTGGGCGATCTCATGAACCGGGTACAGGTGTTTAAGAGTTTACAAGCAGAGGAAGACACAAAGGTGCTCCCGTATATCACACATGGCCTACCACAGCCACAGCACATGAGGGGGTAAATGATGTGTGGATACGTGAATGATCGATTCGCTCGCATTGAAGCAGCTTAAATTGTATTTTCCGCCAGTTTTATTACACGATGTTCATGCAAAAGACTCTAGCTTTAAATAGGAAAATGATCAAAACTCTTTCTGGGAGAATTTTGAACAAAATGCTAACAGTCGAATCCTGTTCAGTTCATGATGCTAAGCTAAAAGTGACTCTGTCAGAACAAGAAATCGGCTGAACGTATTAATAAATGGTTCTAGTCAACTGTTTAACTGTAGAAGACTTGTAAAATGAGCCCTTTTCATAAAAAAGTGGAGACTTACACTTTAGCTTTAACAGAAAACATGTTCATTTCGTTTGTTCTGTCATGACAACTCTCTGAGAGATTTAGTACGGTAATGAATATGTAAATGGCGATGTTGAAGTGTTTGGTCTTGGTGGAGTAAATCTGCTACGCTGCTGCTGCTGCAAACGTAATGTTTGTGTAAATGTCTGGCCGCTACACTGTTGTACAGTCTTCTTCCGTCATCATCCTATTATCAGCTAACATTCAGACCTATAAATACACTTTTGACATTGGTGAATGCATTCAGAATCCAAGCCTTCATGAGTTTCCCTCTGTGTTGAACAGGTTTAACTCAGCCAGTTCTGCAGCCAGTGATTGGTGAGTACATGCTAGATAGATGTTCAGTTTTTGGTCACTTTAACACTTCTCTCTGTTGCTCAGTAAAGTCTTTAAGAGATTTTTTGCTTTAAATTTCTGTTGCTCTACATATTTACTTTCATTCTTCACACATTAGCACACTTCCCTGAACTCCAAAGTGTTTATTATAGTGTGGAGTGTCTCAGAGATCTCTTCATTTCATCTCGAGTGCTTGATGAGTTTCTGTCTTCTGTTGAACAGGTTCAGGTCAGCCAGTTCTGCAGCAAATGATGGGTGAGTACATGATGGATGTTCAGTTTTGGGTGAACTGTCACTTTAGGATTTCTCTCTGTTGCTCAAAAACACCAACAATGCTCCAACAGCAGTCAAACACACTTGAAGAAGCTAGTCAAGCTCTTCAAGATCGCTATTTCATTAGGGTGTGTTTCATTAGGATTAGAGCTAAACTCTGCTGGACAGTAAGTCTGATTACTCCTGGATCGCTCTCTGATTTCTGAAAACTGTTTAATTACATTTGGATGCACAAATCCAGCGCTGTATACAAATTTAGTTAACTTACGTGAACTAAAGTGTCAGATACACTGCATTATATTTAGTTTATAGGGAACTTAAGATGAGATGCCATAAGATGGCATAAGATGAGAATCTTTAAATACAGTTAAAGTCAAAGTCACTTGCTCTCCTATTTAATTTAAATTCCTTTAAAAATGTTTCAAAGTCAGCTGCTCTGTCTATGAGCTGATATATGAGCAATCCACTGATGGATCCACTGATTTACTGATTTGCTTTAAAGTGGAAGTGAAGAAGTCAGTCAAGTTTACATTATTTTGTAAATTGATTTACACTTTAATAAAACATATTAAAACAAACTGGATAAATGTAAGCATTTGCAGAGAAGGGCATGTTTCCCAGTAGTTTTTAGAGTATCTGACATCACAGGGTTGGTTCCGTTCCCTCAGCTGAACAGATGGTTTAAACCCTGGTTTAAGTACGCGCTGTACAAAAGTTAGAGGGAAATGGACGTTTTAAAATTCCAGAACCGAACTCGATACTTTAGACCAGTGGTTCTCAAACTGTGGTACGTGTACCACTAGTGGTACGCGGGCTTACTTCTAGTGGTACGCGGAGGAATCACTGAGTAGTGAATTTAATTTGTACAATAACACCAATGTGACTAGCATTGGCTGTTCTATAAAGCCTACGATCAAAGCACTGTGCATAAAATGTTTACTTTAGTGCATCGCATCATCAGCTGCTAAAAAATCAATTCAGTTGGCTCAAAACTAGAGAAAGACGTGCGTGGTGCTTGCAGACCTATGCAGTGGTGTCAAACCCTCGGGACACAGACTGTCACCGCTCTATCAATTACCAGGTCCAGGTCGCACAAAAAAATCATTAACTATTTCCGTTTTATTTATAATCTGAGTCTGTACGATCGTTTATAAAGAAAAAAAAACTTTTATTTTGAAAATTGACTGTATTCTCTTTTTACATCTCGGTCACTCGAGTGCCAAAGTTCAACCCACAGGCTAGCAGAATGAGTACTGTAGCACGCACGACACGCTTGTGTATTCCAGGTGAAAACATCCTAACTTTTCAGAATGCCGCACCGCGAGTCACGTGACAAGAACCGACTGATTAGCTTCATATTTTGCATGGAATATAACTTCGTTGAATGAATCTGACTCTGCCTCGTTTTCGAACTGTGCAGTGCTGTCGCTGCTTAATTAGGCCAACTACGCTACTTCATTTCTATGCCGGTAATTATGGTAATACTTGGAGAGACAGTTTTTTTCTGTGGTGGTACTTGGTGAAAATAGTGTGACAACCACTGCTTTAGACGACACTAGTGTGTATTACGTATGCATGATAAATTTAACACACACACATGTATCTTGTGTACAAAAAAATGTTTATTGTAAATGTGATTAATCGTGATTAGTTTCCTGCACAGCACTAATAATAAATAATGGAGTGTTTGGGGGGGATTGGTCAGTCAGCTGGTGGATTTACGCCATAGATATATAAACTAGATATTGCATAGGGACCCTGAGCATGCGTCAATAGCGCCGCCACATTGGTACAGTGCTCCCAGGACAAATGTCATTCAACCGCACTAGCCAAGACAGTGTTATTACGTGAAGATGCGGGACTTTAGCGCTGTCTACGGGTGTAGTAACGAGCAAACAAAGAAAACAAAGCACAAAGGCAGAACATTTCATAGGTAATATTCAGTTTTTTTCTGTTTTTGTATGTTCTGAACTTTTGTGCTAATCAGGTAACGTTATTGATGAACAGTCACTTACTGCATTCACCATAAGGCAAAGCAGCTCCAACTCACACTAAACACTCGGCTTATGCTAGTTTTGTTGAATAAAATCAGCAAACAATGCAAAAGAAATATGACAACGAGATGCTGCGCTGCCAGAAACTGGTATAATTGTCGATTAGTGAACGAGTTGTTCATAACGGAGATTCATTCACAAACGAATCGCTCTCTCCGTCAGTATGAGAAGTGAAAGCAGGAGAGGAGCTGTGTTTCAGGACATGAGTAGATCAAATTTAACAGGGAGGGTGAATAGTACATTTCTGTACACACAAACACAAGCTTTCTGTCAGGAATGCCCGTGCGGTCACTGATCCATCAATGTAGAAAAGTGATGTCAAATTATAATTTTCGTAATTAGAAAAAAAATTACACACTAACATCCAGGAAAACTCCCGATCATAGATATATGTGTATATGTGTATGTCTCTGGCTTTGGATGGCCACAGTCCTCCACTGTACCTTAGTCCTGCATTCATTTCAAAGAAACTCTACCCTGTAGCAAGATGGCGGCGCTATTGACGCATTTCGTCCAATAGACAACAATAGGCCAGGCGACATCTAATGTATATATCTATGGGTGGAAACAAGAACAGCAGAAATGTGAGACCTGAATAAGCATACACAGCGCCCTCTAGTGGATTCACAAAAACTGCAGAAAACGTGCCTCCTGGGAGTATTTGCAGCTCTCCAGAAATGTATATAGTGGTACGTTTTTAAAATAATCCTGGGTTGAGACTTTCAGAAAAGAAAAATAATAGTGTGAGACTGATAACGGCAGCCAGAAGAGAGAATAACGTCAAATCAACTGTCCTGCTCCCATACACACTGCATTACAAACACTTCACACAAGCGGTGATATGTCTAATGTAATTTGATGCAAAGATGATGTAATACATACATGAATGCACACAAATGTTCATGTCTTTTATTAAACAATCAGTATAATCAAAACTTAAGACGCTGATCAGTCTTAGAAGAAGGGTCTACTGTGTTTTGAAGTTCCCACAACATCAGTGCTTATTATCCTGATATACTGACTGTGTCTAACGCCGGCGCTGATCTTACTGTCAGGATCTGCCATCGTTTTGAGCCAGCCGCTGCAGTTGGTCCAGCAGGTCCCGCAGAACCAAGCGGCCAGGAGTGCTGTGATGATCGTGCGGCAGCCGGACAGGGCGCCTCAGAAAGGGGTGGACCACGGCTATAAATGCTTCGTCCCGGACTGCACTAGTGACATCAGCACTCTACACACGCTCCCCGCAGACAAGAGCAGTCAGGAGGTCTGGCTGAAGTTCATCTACGACCGCATCCCTGCGCACGTCAACTCCAAGGTGATGATCTGCTCGGCTCATTTCACTCCTGACTGCTTCACCAACCAGGGCATGTTTCAGGCCGGATTCGCCTCTCGGCTGATCCTCAAAAAGGGAGCAGTTCCCACCATACCCGCCCCAAAGATGCTCACTCCGAAGGCGGTGAGTAGCCACTTCTACTAGCTTCGCTGTAATGTGTTTGTGGTCTTCTGGAGCTGAAGATCAGGAAAGTGTAGGTTGTGGCATAATAAAAGCTCTGCTGAATTTGTGCAGCGCTGCAATCGTCTCTCATAAGCAACTGCTTCAGTGTTCTCCTCTCGTTTCTCTTCACATCTTTACTCTGCTAAGAAGTGTTGAATACACTAATGGACACGCTTGTGTTTCAGAGTACATCACAGCCCAAGAAACCAGCAACAACGATTCCACGTTTCTTAGACAAGTTCTGCCAGACTGATGCTCCTGCGTTCTCGAACAAGGGAACGCAGCTGGGTGTGAGAGCACTGAGCTCCAAGGTTCGCAGCAAAGGTAATGACCCTCATCATTAATAAGCATCAGCTGCGTATTAGTATAATTCAGCCTTAAAACCGTACAAGATTTACATATGAACACTGCTGGGTAATGTGTCAGATGCGAGAAGATGTGTGTAGGTCTTACTGTTTGGTCTTACACTATTTGAGCTGTTGACAGTCTTACACAGTTGAAGTCAGAATTATTCGCCCCGCTTTGAATTTCTTTTTAATATTTCCCAAATGATGTTGAACAGATTGAGGAAATGTTCACTGTATGTCTGATAATATTTGTTATCCTGGAGAAAGTCTGATTTGTTTTATTTCGGCTAGAGTAAAAGCAGTTTTTAATTTTTTTAACAACATTTTAAGGTCAGAATTATTAGCTGTATTTGTTTTGGATAGTCTACAGAGCAAACCATCATTATACAATGACTTGCCTAATTACCCTAACCTGCCTAGTTAACCTAGTGAAGCCTTTAAATGTCACTTTAAGCTGTATAGAAGTGTCTTGAAGAATATCTAGTCTAATATTATTTACTGTCATCATGACAAAGAGAAAATAAATCAGTGATTAGAGATGAGTTATTAACACTGTTATGATTAGAAATTAGTGTAAAAAATTTCTCCGATAAACAGAAATTGGGGGAAAAATAAGCAGGGGGTAAATATTTCTGACTTTATCTATATGTTGCCCCACGCTGCTATAAACACTGAGGACACATGTATTTCACTAAAAACTGAAAATTGGTTGTTTTTGCGTTATTTCAAGCAAATTCGTTCTTCCGGTTTGAAAAGAAATCTTGAAGCTGCGTCACAGCGATGAGATCCTTGTGTAAATTCCAGAGACAGGCTGTACCAGTGAGTACAACATGATGTCTTTGAGCTTTCAGTATTAATCAACCAAAATTCTTTTTCCTCCGATTCCTTGGCTAGGTCCGATTCAAACGCATGTCACTTTCCGTCATGAATTTTTTCGCTCTATTTTAAATTTTTCGAAAAACTAATTTGATCGAACTCCTCCTAGGCCGTTTCTCCGATTTTCACCAAAATTTAATCACATGATCTACAGACCATGCCAACCAAAAGTTATGGAATTCAAGTTGATTAGACCAACCGTTTTCGTTTAACTTGCGATCAAATTTAACGTAGAACTAGCGAAAATGGACTTGAGGCGATATCTCCGTAACGCATTCACCGATTCCCACCAAACCTGGTATGTGTTATGACAACTAGGGTGTGAGGTTATTTGTGGAGTTTCGGCGCACTGCCCCTTAGTGGCCCGGAGATACAAAAAAACTTGCTTTTTTGGTTTATAACGTCTCAACCTTTGGTCCGAAACTCATAAAACTGCTCTCATTACATCCGGCAGAGCATGTCGAGTCGAATGATGTCTGAGTTCCAACTCTGCTCCAACTCACTTAACTGAAGGTTTCAAACAAGCCTGAAGGACTGAATAGGTTTGATCAGGTGTGTTTAATCAGGGTTGGAATTGAACAGTGCAGAGCTGCGGCCTTCCAGGAACTGAGTTGACACCTGTATATCTAATAGTGAATTGGGGAATTTTCAGTTTTGTCTCTTATTTCATAGTAAGAATAAGAATATGGTGTGTGCCCAGTTATAGTGATCCTGTACAGGTCACCATTATTACCCTTACTAATTCAGTCTTATTGTCTTCTCCCTGTCAGCCGTGCAGGCGTCAGTGCCGTCTAAGAGTATTGGTACCATCACCACTGAAATGTGGCCCTCGCCACCCAAAAGAGCCCGCGTTGAGTACGAGGAGGAGGACGAGGAGGAGATGGAGGAGGATTTCCCTGAAGAGTCTGATCCTAAAGACTCGGACTATGATCCTGCAGAGTCTGAAACAGCCGAATCACCGGATTCACCCGATTCAGCTGATTCAGAAATACCGGCTGCGTAAGTATCACTACATCAATGGGACATCCCAGACTTTACATCACAGGGGAATAATAGGTCACCTTAAATACAAAAATAAACTTCCGTTGTACATATTGCATGGCATGTTTTCAGTTTCAGGGCATGAGGTTATTTCTGTGTGTTTTCCTGCAGAGCCCCAGAAGTGCCGGCCCACAAGGATGCCAAGTTCGTGGTGTTCGAGCAGTGCCTCCTCAGCCTCTTCGAGAGGTGTCCTGTCTGCAGCAGGGCCTGTAAGGTCCGGCCAACCCGTATGGGGACATACATCTCCGTGAACCAGCTGTGCCCCAACTGCGAGTTCAGCAGGCAGTGGAGCAGCCAGCCTCTGATCGCCAGCACTCCTGTGGGAAACCTCCAGCTGTCGGCCGCCATTTACTTCAGCGGACTCTCCTACATCAGGATACAGAGGGTACATCCATTATCACACACTAAATCACACACATGCTGGAGATGCCAAGGTTATTTGCTTTACCAGACAAAAACTAAGACTAAAATCATTGATAGTTTAGGCTGGTGTCGTCTGGATAATTGTTATGCGATCAGATATAGCATTACTCGCTGATGAGAGAGACGCCAGGGATTTGGCTTTACAGAATCCCTCATAGAAAGATCAGCCTGAAGGGAGAAATTGATGGGTTTGTGCCGAATGTGAGCATCATTAACTAAGGCCGCGATTCATCAGCAGATCGCTCGTATGTTAGCTTATAGACAAACCAGCTGATCGACGTGGCTTTAACACACTCCAGGTTATACTCAGTAAACAGCGGTGAGTTCGGTGAACTGATGACCGTCACGGCCAATCACAGTCATTTCTGTTGAGCACTGGTGAACACAACAGCAAATCAGCGCTGTTTCAGAACGAGCTCAAATGTTATCAGGAAATGGACGCTTTTAAAACTTCAGTATCTATTTGTACTGAATTCCAGTATGGTGACGACATTAATATGAATACAGCTTCACCAGATGTCTTCAAATCTCTATTTGGTAATAAAGTCATTTCTCCGAGTCTAACAGTATTCAAGTACAGAAACTGAATGATCAAAATAAAAGTGATTCATTGAAATTAATCGTAGTTAAGGTCATAATGGTACAATTTCTTATACCTGAATGCTTTTAAAATCATTATACAATCACAGGCATTTAAAACACTGCGATACAAACTCAGCATTGCATATCCTGCGATGTATTACGAATGATCACATTGCGATATCAATGCTGAAGCCACATATCCTGCAGCGCTAGTGCTTATAATGCATCATAAGTTTTGCTTACAAATTAGGGTTGGGTTGATAGACGATGCTATTGTCCATCACTGATGGCTGATCATAATGCTAAGCCGGCATCGCAATCCTCCGCCAAGCCCGGGGCGCAGTAGAAACCCGCTCACGAAAACATTTACACTACACTAACATTTACTCTTTAGTTTTAAAATGGACTTTCTGAATGAAATGATCCACAGCTACACTGGCGTTTCACCTAGCATTTGTGAACAGCCCTCAGTCCACACTTGACGGCTGACTATACACACAAACACTCTGTCATGCGCTGCAGTGTCTGAGCTCCAGCAGTCATCAAGGATGGCGTCTCACTACAGTTGTTAAAGGTGATATTTAATTAATCTCGTCTCTAACGACTCTTCGCTCTCTTGAATCTATCAGGTAACAGAATCAGTACACTGCTTCAGTCCTTCACTTTCACACTTGTACTCAGTTAATTTAGAGTAAACCTCAGATGCTGTTGGTTGGTTGCTGTTAGTTGTGCACCTTTTTACCAACCAAATTTGTGGAGGCTATTATAGCGACACAGATCACTCTGCCTGTTCATGCCGAATCCTGCTGGATAACCAATTGACTGGTGGTCATTTGTGTGTAGCTTATTTTCATTTCAATCAATCAATCAATCAATCAATCAAGCCTTTATTTGTCACTACACTTTCGTATAGCGAAATTGGACCCCCCAGACCATACACAAAACATCACAAACAACTTTTCAGGGGAGACAGATCTTAGGAGGTAGCATTTAGAAACGAAGAAAGATACATTTGGACAGTTAGGCTAAAAAACACCCCCTCAGCTTGCCCTTGATTAGGACAAAGTGAGAAAAGGGAGAAAAAAGCCCTATCTTTGCATAAGCACACCGGCAAGACACAACATAGACAGAGGGGATGGGAACAGGGGTAATGGAAAACAGTCCGTTGAGTGCGGGCAGCCAACTGGCCCAGCAGCCATTTCCGGCGCAAGTCACAGCCCGCCCACGCCCCACGTGGGTAAAAGCACACGAAGGCGTTTGGATGGGGATCGGTGGTGAATGTTTATCTGTAGATATGTTTGTGTGTGTGTGAGCCTGCAGAGTCCCGCAGGTGTCCTTGACAGGGGCAGGAATTTCAGTGCGTCCGCTTATCTTGCTTATCCCAGGGAGTTGTTTACTTCCAGCCGAGGCCGTCTGGCAGGAGTAAGAGGAGAGCCGAAAAAAAAGACAGTAAGATACTTCCACTTTAGGTCAATATCTGCCAATTTCACAGATATTTAATGTCCATCACTTGTCTCCCGATCTGGCCAAAATTTGTTGCAGAGCCGCTAGCTTCACCTCGATGGTTTCCAGTTTGCGGTCAAGGACCTTAGTCTGATTCGCGACCCTACCCATCAGTGTTTCAATCAAGCCGGCCAGCCTAGTGGGGTTTTGAGCTGCGCTGACCGCTTTTATCAGTTTCCGATATCCCAGGGCCCCGCATAAGCCCATCAGCAGAAACCCTGTTATCAAAGTTCCGAATAGGTAGATATCTTCAATATCCTCCAGAGACAGAGCAGCTAGACAGAGGACTCTCCACTTCTCCCACCCGTCCATCACATATCCAGCTGCGAGCGTCCCCGCAGGACAGCTGGGTTCCCCGGAGCCCAGCGATCTCGTTGAGAAGTTGGTGTCAATTGCATTCAGAGACCAGTTGATCAAATCCATAATTCCTTTTTCGTTTGGAAAGCAGGACAAGGAGAGCCTCAGAGATAGAATAAGACAAGACAAGAGGTGCTAGCAAGGAGAGATATGGGACGGAGTGGGAAGAAGAGCGACCGCCTTCGCCGAGAGCCAAAGAAGAAGAATTTATTGATGATTTGGTTATGGGTAAATCAAAGACCATATGGGTCAGGTAGTTGAAACGATACGCTACAAAAAATTAATCCGTTATGAATTAATTATTTATAAATAATGAATACACCTCCGCCTACGACGACGATGTTATCGCCCATCTTGATGTTTCACATTAGACATTGTACGGTCACTCAACCCTATTTCGAATTTCAATCTCTGCTTTTGAGTCTGCCTTAGGAGTTTTATTAAATAAATCAGAAGTATTTTAGGCCCTGTTTACACTAGTGCTTTTTAGTTTTAAAACAGCGTTTTAGATCAAAAACGATCCGCGTCCACACTAGTGTTTCACCTAGCGTCTCTGAGCATCTCCGTCCACACTACGCCACCAAAAACGTATATCACGTGACCATTCGCGCACTCTGGGCATGCGCGTTCTAGTATAAACAGCATGTGTCTCGCTCGGCATTCGGTTATTGTTAGTCAACAAACGCCGGTTGAACATTAAACGCGATGGCAAAGAAAGCAAGAGAGGTGTTTTTGTGGACAGACGACGAGGTCGAGTTGTTACTAAACGTAACAAAAGAATAACTGCACAATGCCGCCTAAAACAGACAATAGTGCAAACAACGCTCCCATTTCTGTGTCCATGTTGTTGTTTACAGTGAAGGCTGGTCTGCTGTCTCCCGGTAGCGTTAACGCCATGTGTTATAGTCATGTGATAGGGGCTTGACGAAGGATACGCAATGACACAAAAGCCCTAATCAGGTAGTGAATCTCAGCTGCTCCGCAGCAGCGCTTCAGAATGAAAACAGCCTCTCCAGCGTTTCCAAAACGCTCCGTTTTCTTCGCTCGAAAACTCCGGCGTAGTGTGGACGGATGGCATAACCGTAGCAAAACGTATGCGTTTTCAAACTAAAACACATTAGTGTAAACGGGGCCTCAGACTCTTCTCTTCTGCATTCTTCATTGGTGTTGGCGTCTTTTCTTTGCTAGTGAAAATTATAAATTGGTTTGTCATAAAGGAGCTCTTTTTACAACTCTAACTGAAAGATAGACACGATGACTGATTTATTATTGTTGTTATTATTGTTATTATTATTATTGTTGTGTTAAAGATGTTCAAGGGCATGAACCTGAAGATGAACCTCTATAGCACTTTCCGAAGACATGCCAAGATGTTCCTTGAACCCACCATCATCCACAAGTGGAACCAGGACCAGAACGCCCTTCTGCAGAAGATGAGCCGGGGCCACGAGGTCGTTCTGGCGGGGAAAATGAGAGCTGATTCAGCAGGTGACCATTATTATTTATTTATTCTAGTATTATTATGTAAATTGTTTTTAATTATGCGTGATTAATCTCATCCAAAATAAAAGTCTGTTTTGACATAATGTGTGTATGTCTTAGGGCTGCACACTATACCGTTTAAGCATCAACAGTTGTATCTGCAACAGTCACATCAGCAGGATTGGATTATTAATTAACGAGTCAAAGATAAAAATATAGACATTTATAAGTGTTTATTTAATGATGAGCATGTTTTACATTTGGAAGTTTATTTAAATACCGCTAGACTCCGCAGAAAACCATACAGCGCTGTTTATTTCACTTTTATCTTCGACCTGTCCTATGCATTTATTTATTTGGCATCTCTTTACTCTCCTAAATGTCTATTACTGACATCTTAAATGTCTGTTTATTTTCAGAGAGGTGACGATTGACCGTGAGCTGGTTGAAAATCGATTCAAATATGTGATGATTCAATTCGGTAGAAATTTCGAATGAATGGCGATGCATGTTCTGAACAGAGGGGGCGCTGTGTTTACAGGCTGAAGGCTGATTTATACTTCTGCATCAAGTGCACGCATATGCTTAGGCGCAGCTTTCGCATGGTCGCATAGCCCTTGCCGTGGCGGACGGCGAGGTTCATTACTATCCTTAAACAGTTCATTACTATCTTTACCTGTTTAGTAAGATCAAATATCCTGACAGCAACACAGATACATCTCCCAATCAGTTTCAAGCACTTTACCTGAAATCTGAGCACTTTATAGATTAGATTAAAAGCTTCTCCAGCACCCCTGTGAACCCTTAAATATACAGATGATGTCATTTACCTTAGTCTTCTTCATTTTAAAATGACTAGTAACTTGTGTTTGTTTGTGTGTTTGGGGGTGATTGCAGGAAAAACGTTGACGTACGGGAGCTACAGCATGGTGGACTTGCAGACCAAACTCGTGGTAGACGTTCAGCTGGTGCAGGTATCTGGAAACATGTGGACTTGCTGGCTTATTTATGACCTGATTCTTGTTATGATAAATAGCTAAAGTCTTTATTATGGTTATCAGGGGACTTAAAAACTCTTAATGTCTTGAATTTCAAAATCTAACCTGTGGCAGGTCTTAAATACTTGTAAACAGGTAAACATTTTCCTTTGTTGATGTAAAGCAGGGGTCACCAATCTCGGTCCTGGAGAGTCGGTGTTCTGCATAGTTTAGCTCCAATTTCCCTTAACACACCTGCCTGGAGCTTGATTAGCTGGTTCGGGTGTGTTTAATTGGGGTTGAGACTAAATAAAAGGACACCGGCCCTCCAGGAACAAGTTTGGATACCGCTGATGTAAAGCAACCAACAATTCATCTAAAAAAAAAATGTTTAACAAAAGTCAAATTGAACTTTATTTACCGATATAGTCTAATTCTCTTCCTTACATCTTTACAATAACAGTTGATTACAAGTTCTCCATGTATATATGCATGAATGTATGTTGTGAAACAATTCATTGTAGTTTTTAAAACTTAAAATTATAAGTCTTAATATTTCATTTCATTTTCTTGTCAGCTTAGTCCCTTTATTAATCCGGGGTCGCCACAGCAGAATGAACCGCCAACTTATCCAGCAAGTTTTTACGCAGCGGATGCCCTTCCAGCCGCAACCCATCTCAGGGAAACATCCACACACATTCATACACTACGGACAATTTAGCCTACCCAATTCACCTGTACTGCATGTCTTTGGACTGTGGGGGAAACCGGAGCACCCGGAGGAAACCCACGCAAAGGCAGGGAGAACATGCAAACTCCACACAGAAACGCCAACTGAACCGAGGATCGAACCTGCGACCTTCTTGCTGTGAGGCAAACGTGCTACCCACTGCGCCACTGCGTCGCCAAGTCTTAATATATAATACTTATTATAAGTATTTAAAACTACTTTTTTTAATATATACAGTTGAGGTCAGGATTATTCGCCCCTTTAAAAATGTTTTGTTCTTTTTCCAAATATTTTTCACAGTATTTCCTGTAATATTTGTTCTGCAGGAAAAAGTCTTACGTGTTTTATTTTGGCTAGAATAAAAGCAGTTTTTAATGAAGCACATAATATTAGACTAGATATTCTTTAAGACACTAGTATTCAGCCTAAAGGTACATTTAACAGCTTAACCGAGTTAATTAGGGCAGTGGTTCTCAAAGTGGGGGTCAGGACCTCTTGGGGGAGGGGGGGGATTGAAGGGGTGTCGTTTGGTGATTTCCAAAAATCAGCATTTTATCAAACTATTAAAAATACCATAATTTATCCATAACCTACTGGAAAACAAAATAGTAGTTCATATTATATATTGATATAATGATATTACATTGTTTACATGTTAACAATAAACATTAAAAAACAACATGCAGCTAAAAAGCCATCAGCCTTTCAAAATTTTATGGCACCAGGTTAAACTTTCTGACTCCTTTTCGGCATTAAAAATAAATACAGACCACAACTGAACATGGAGGATGGTCTCTGAGTGGCGTTCTCTAAAAATAAACGATGAATAAACTTGGGCCTATTGGTGTGTGCATCGTTGTGTGTAAGATGTATATGTTTATAAACACTTTAGAGCAGTGTTTTTCAACTGGTGGGTCCCGACCCAAAAGTGGGTCGCAGGAACATTTTCAGTGGGTTGTGGTGTTTGGTCAAAAAAACATCAAAAGTTTAATTGTTAACTTATTTTGCTTATATTGGACTTTTATTTTGAAATGCGTGCGACAACCGTACCGTTTAACATGTGAATTTTGTACATTTTCACTACTTGTGTATGATAACAAATAAATACAAATGAATTCTAATTGCTAAAATTATATTATAGTTCCTAAAAATTTGGGTCGTGGCTTGATAACCATGTAAAAACGTGGGTCCCATGGCCAAACCAGTTAAGAACCATTGCTTTAGAGGATATTGTGGGTCAAGAGTCACTAATATTGTTATTATGGGGGGTCGCAGGCTAAAAACATTTCAGAACTCCTGAATTAGGGTAAAGTTAGGGTAATTAGGCAGGTCATTGTATAACAGAGACAATCCAACACTAATATTGCTTAAAGGGAAATAATAATATTGACTTAAAGTGGGTTTAAAACTATTACAATTCTAGCCCAAATAACACAAATAAGACTTTCTCCAGAAGAACAAATATTAGAGGAAATACTGTGAACATTTCCTCAATCTGTTCAACATCATTTGGGTAAACACCTGACGATGATAACATGTGGACTAATAAAGTTACCTTACCTCAGAAGAGACGACTTCTTATCACTCAAGCTTCATAAATGATAATAATAGTAACTGATAATAGTTGATGAAATAATAGTAATATAAAATGTTGATGTGTTTGTCCCCAGAGTGCTGAGTGTGAGGGGAAGGATCAGATGCAGACGGAGGGTCTGCGCAGGAGTCTGGAGCGGCTGCAGGAGAGCGGAGTCAAGCTGTCCTGCCTCGTCACCGACACAAACACTCCGGTTCAAACCCTCCTGAAGGAGCGCAACATCAGACACTATTATGACGTACGGCACGTCGCAAAAGGTAAAGCCTACATCAGAAAAAATAACATTTCACATAGTCATGGTGGTTAGCATTACAGCAAGAAGGTTGCTGGTTCGAGTCCTGGCTAGGTCAGTTCATGTTTGCATGTTCTCCCCGTGTTGGCGTGGGTTTCCTCCGGGTGCTCCGGTTCCCCCCACAGTCCAAACACATGCACTATAGGGGAATTAATTAACTAAATTGTCCATTGTGTATGAGTGTTTCCCAGTAGTGGGTTGCAGCTGAAAGTAAAACATATGCTGGAATAGTTGGCGGTTCAACTGAATGAAAATATAAATAGATTCTCCTGAAGGAGCATACTCCAACACTCTGTTTCAGTCTGTGTTTCACCTGTGACCGTCTTTGATCAGGACTGTCCAAGAAGATGGAGGACGTGTCCAAAGAGAAGGGCTGCGGTCTGGTGAAGAAGTGGAACAAGACCATCTGCGGTCACCTGCACTATTCCGCCACCACATCCGAGTCTGGACAGGAGAAGATCTCCAAGTGGAGGTCCATCATCAACCACCTGCAGGACGTCCACACACACGACGACCCCATCTTCCCTCAGTGCCACCATTCACAGCGCCTCACCAAAGACAGCAGCAGGTGGTTTCAGCCAGGTGTGTGTGAACTCGGTGTATAGTATTAAGGATAAGTTCATCTGCAGCCTTAGTTTTGACACCTAGTGTGTTTAACCCTGTCAAGCGCTCTCGGAGCAGTTCACCGTGTATATGTGAACAAACCAAGTGATCTCAGACGCCCTAAACCAGGGGTGTCAAACTCAATTGCTGGAGGGGCGAAGCCCTGCACAGTTTAGTTCCAACCCTGCTCCAACACACTTACCTGTAGCTTTCAAACAAGCCTGAAGGACTCAATTAGTTTGATCAGGTGTGTTTAATTAGGGTTGGAACGAAACTGTGCAGAGCTGCGGCCCTCCAGGAACTGAGTTTGACACCTGTCTCCTAAACGGACCCAAAATGGAACTGTACTCAGGCCACATTGGAAGGTGGTCTGATTACGGTTTGTAACTAAGAGATTTGGAAACAAAGAGATCCCTGTCCGTTTTGCCTTTGGTTTGGCTAATCATAATCAAGTAATCGTGTAATCTGTGATAACCGGCTGGATGTGCTTTATCCCTGGCGAAACATCCCAGCATTCATGTGTTGTGTATCAGTGACGTTACACTGATTCCCCCCAGGTTCGAGGCCGCTGTGCAGGCTGGAGAAGGTGCTGATGAACCAGAGAGTGCTGTCAGATGTGGAGATGCTGAGTCCTCACCCACAGACCTCCACTCTGCAGTCTTTCAACAGACTCGTCTCTCAGTTCGCTCCCGAAGACATCAACTTCCCCTTCATTGGAATGCTCTGCAGGTACGCACGGTCTCAACACCACATGAGCTTTATTGTAAATTTGAGAACCCAGGCTAGGAGACCCGTTGCAAGCAGAATTCTTTGAGACGTGTTGGTTGTTCTGGAGTCGAACAGCATCTTCTAGAAGTCCACATGACTCTGCAAGAGTCTCTTAGAGTCTAAGGGTGCTTTCACACCTGTGAATCGATTCAGTTGTTCTGAAACGGGGATTACAGCTGTTACAGCGTTGCTCTTGGTGCGGTTCGCTTTCACACGACAAAGTTTATAAACGGACCAAAAGAGCTACAACAAGTCACGTGTGAGTAAACTCTCCTCACATTTGGTCAGAGTTTCACGGTTTATTCTGCAGAGTCCTCTCAGCTGTCAGGGGTGGTGGTGGTTTGGTGGTGTTGGACAGGATGCGCACAATGTGTCTGAAGAGCGAGGAGGGATAGGGTGGGGAGGGGAGACAAGGGTGAATGACTGATTTGAGGACCGGGAGGGAGACGTCAATTTCCGGGAGATTATCACTTGTTTACAGGCATCCGGAAGTCTCTATGCATTTGCGGGAGACTCCCGGAGCTTCCGGTAGACTTGGGATGTCTGGAATGCCCTACTCATAATTCTCTCTTCATATAGCCGTATGCCTGTACATATGCATAAAGCACTGTGATATAGCCGGGTTTGGATCGTATCGCTTTCTCACTACAATCGATCCGCTCCAGAGTTCTTTTCAATCGAGTCGAGACCACCTCATTCAGGCGATCTCAGAGCGACTGTTTTAGCACGGATCCGAGCACGATTGGTGGATTCACAAATGCCAAACAAACCGCGCTAACTGATCAAACGAGACAGGTTCCGGAACAAAAGTGTAGGTGTGAAAGCACCCTAACACGAGTCTACTTTGGACAGTTGCCATGTGTATATGTTTTAGGAGGGGCAGTGTTAACGAAGTAGATAGGTGAAAGGACCTGTCCAGCCACTGACCAGACAAGTCTATCAACAAAAGAGTTTCTTTGGCTTTGATGGATCCACAGAGATGAAGGGACAGTTGTTGAGACCCACAGTTGTCCCTGTACCCAAAGACTTCTTAGTTATGTACGTTCTTGATAATTTGGAACTATATTTTTTAACAACATGTGCTTCATAACACTTCAAAACCTTTACGAGTCTTTTGATTTGAATCGGTGGTTTCAGAGCTCTTTTCAAATTGGCAGGGTCACTTGAATTCAGTAAACGAGGCTCTCCTCTAGGGGGCGATCTGAGTAACACCATAAAATCTACATCAGTTATGCGGGTTCTCTCAGAGCGCCCCCCAGTGGTGAATCACTGCACCGGTTTCATCATTTTCACCTGATCTCAAGGCAATTTTATGACTTTTTAGATGTTTAAATGACACATTTATGTAATGAAAATGGTTATTAATAGTTGATAGACCCTTTTTGGCCTGTTTAGCAGAGTTCACCATAGAACAACCAATATATACAGCTGAAGTCAGAATTATTCGCCCCCCTGTTTATTGTTTCCCCAATTTCTGTTTAACAGAGAGCAGATTTCTTCAACACATTTCTAATCATAATAGTGTTAATAACTCATCTCTAATAACTGATTTATTTTCTCTTTGCCATGATGACAGCACATAATATTAGACTAGATATTCTTCAAGACACTTCTATACAGCTTAAAGTGACATTTAAAGGCTTCACTAGGGTAACTAGGCAGGTTAGGGTAATTAGGCAAGTTATTGTATAATGATGGTTTGTTCTGTAGACTGTAAAAAAACAAAATTAGCTTAAAGGGGCTAATAATGTTGACCTTAAAATGGTGTTTAAAAAATTAAAAACTGCTTTTATTCTTGCCGAAATAAAACAAATAAGACTTTCTCCAGGAGAAAAAATATTATCAGACATACAGTGAACATTTCCTGAATCTGTTCAACATCATTTGGGAAATATTTAAAAAATAAATTCAATGGGGGACGAATAATTCTGACTTCAACTGTAAGCCTAAAACATTTAGTTGCTTTAATTACTATGTACTGTTTAGTAAGCATTTAGGACAATGAACTTATTATTAACATGTTTATTTTCAGTAATCTGCATGTAATTATATCTGTAATCTAAAGCAATAAATAATGCAAACATAGTAAAAAGAAAATGTCAAATAGATAATAAATTATTAACATGTTATGAATTAAATGACAATAATATAAATGTCTAATGATGATTTGATTATGAAGAAACACACGCAGGGAGCCACAATGATCTTTAAATCTTGGGTTTAAATGTTGGGTTCTTCAATCCTTTTGGTGTTGAGAACAAACACTGACAATCATCAATGTTGTATGGTTTGTGTTGTGCTGTAGGTTGTACCTGGCAGCCATGCAGTTCAACGAGTGCAGAAGTGCAGTGGAGAAGACCACCGGCAGAGCCAAACATACACACCCGCCGCCCTCTGCACACGACGAATCCGCAAACACAGAGGAAACATTCAGTAGGAGTTTACAAACACCCATATATTAGTTTTAAACAATACTTACAAACTTGTGAAGAAATCCTACATATAAGTACTATATTTATAATGATTTACAGTAAATACTGTTGTGCTGTTGAACCAAACTATAGTAAAAATATTATAGCCAACTACAACACTTCATTTGCAGCACACTGTATTATTAACAATAGTGAACTGATAAACAGTAATACTGTAGCAAACTTTAGATTTTACTACAGTAAACCCTGCCGTATTGTAGTATAATAAACCCTATAGTTGTAGAAAACTACAGCACTGAGTCATTTGTTTATATTAATATAGTTGTTGTTACCGTAGCAACTCTAGTATCATCACAACAGCTCTCTATTACTGTAGTTGTCATGTTACCATAGCAACTGTAGAATCACCACAACAGATCTCAAATACTGTAGAGGTCATGTTACTATAGTAACTAGAATCTCCACAACAGATCTCAATTGTTGAGTTGTCATGTTTCCATAGCAACTGTAGAATTCAACCCCACTCGGGTTAACTCCCGAACACTCGCCCTCTCTCAGCGGCGAGGGCATCTGGACAACGCGTCCCTCCTTCTCCCGGGCTTCGGCACCACTGTAATAAAGTTCACGGCCCTTTGGCCGCCGGGAAGAAGGAGGCGGAGAACCGACGCAGGTTTAAAATGATTTATTAATAACTAAACCAAAACAAATGGACTGAAAAGCAAAAGTAAAATATGTCCGGGCCCGGTCCTCTCTCGGCTTCCTCTGCCATCGTTCTTCCTTTTATTGTCCAGAGCTCCTTCCGTGGGATCCGAGGCAGGTGCGCACCGCAGGTGTATCCACTTACGCGGTGGCCTCACTCCATTCCCACAGCTCTCGGCCACGCCACCTCGCCACAGTTACCATAGTAACTGTAGAATCTCCACAACAGGGCTCAATTGTTGAGTTGTCATGTTTCGAATAGCAACTGTTGAATCACCACAACAGATCCCAATTGCTGTAGTTGTCATGTTACCATAGTAACTGTAGAATCGCAGCAACAGATCTCAGTTGCTGTAGATGTTGTTACCATAGCAACTGTAAAATCACCACAATGGATCTACGTTGTTATAGTTGTCATGTTACCATAGCAACTGTAAAATCACCACAATGGATCTACGTTGTTATAGTTGTCATGTTACCATAGCAACTGCAGAATCAACACAACAGATCTCAATAACCAGGCTCATAAGAGGTTTGTTTCCTCGTCTTTCGCAGGCTACATCGCCAACCTGATGGACCGACTTTTTGAAGAGGTGGTCCACGATCCTGTTCCCTATCTGGAGGTGCTTCAGCAGATTCCTGTGCCTCAGTCTGAAGTGAACGTCTGAGCCGAAGATGTCCGACGGCGTCAGCAGATACTGTGTGTGTTTCTTTACTGCTAAATCTGTTAACATTAGCTCCTGTTCATCTGAGCAACAGTTAGCAGTCACGTTTCTCCATTTCTTTCATAGATCAGACAGCAAAGCTGTGCAATTTACTGTAATAAAAGTTACTTCCTGTTTACTCTACATGTAATGGTGTGACACACCTCAAACGCTCATAGTGAACTCTATTAGCCTTAATCTTGACATAAGAGCGGTCTGAGGAGAAAAAGGCGGGAAAAATCCTAATGTCACTCTTCCATTACTCTAGCAGGACACAAATGGTTGAAAGAATCTCTCTCCTGTGTAGTTGTGAGAAATAATAGCACTATATATATATATTCTCTTTCAAGTTCGCCTGTAAAAAAGACAGTTCTAGAGCTTTAATACGTTTATATGTAACCCAGTTTAACCCTCTTGCACTACGCGGGTTTAAAGTGACCCAGCGGACTTTATTTTCTATATTTTTATCTTTAGGTTAAGTTAGTTTCATCACTCGGCATTCCAGGAAACCTTAATATACTTGTTTTTGATCATGACAAGTCCTTATTTTAATGTTTTCTTTTGTTACATTTGGAGTAAAAGTGACGTCTTTGTGACTCTGCTTGTTTCCTTTTCTGAATCTCCAAAATAAAAGTTTTTTTAATCATTCATTGTCCCAGATGTGCTTTAAATATCTAGTATTTGACTTCCACTGATATGTTTATTTTTCAGTATTTTATAAACACAGTTTTTGCATTAAACATATGCTTTACACACATTCACTGTTAATTCAGACATGGCTGAGAGTTTATTTTGCTGATGCTTTGAAGGAAACATGTAATAATCCTGGTGGTCATTAAACGACTTCCACAAATAATTATGAATATTTTGATCTCCATTTAACTTTATTAATCAACACAATTTTGGATTTGTGCATCGACTTTACATAATATGGGTCAAAAATGACAAGTTGAAGATTTTTTCAAAGATCATTTTAAGTGCAGACTTTTACTTTTATTACTGTTCATCTGTGCCACATAGCACACAACTCCAGATGGCTGATTTGATATTTTATACATATTTTATGCAAACTCTGTATATTTTATGCATTATCAATCTATCTAACAGGTTTATAGGGAGGAATTAAATATTAAAAACAATAAATTTAGTGGTTAGAATAGGAACACCAAAATAAATATAAAAAAAGTTTTAGTTGTTTTTACCCTTCAAAAAATGGCCTTTTAAACTAATTTTACTGTGATTGTTCATTTAATAGTTCTAGGAGAAAATTGACTGGAATAAAATGGATCGACATTAAATAGATCGCTCTGCAGCCACAAGAAATAGTTCCTTCTAAAGCTTTTTCTTAAGATAATCAAGATTCTCCACATTGTTTGAAAAAAGTACTGAGTATTACAATTGATTATGATTTAACGACTACGATTCAATACATGTTTTGTGTTGTAAAGCAGATGTTCAGTGCGTGAACCAGACTTTTATTCTGTAGCGGTGATGTGACGCCTTAACGCTGCGCCGCTCGCGCTCCTGTGCGTAAACAGGCGGTGAGATTGCGCTTTAAATTTGATTCATGTATTATAACAGTTTAATCAAAGTGTTAGATTTGTGCACGTTATGCTAAACTAACTATCGAGTGAATAAATTAATTCATTATTTACGGCCATTTTTGTGGACAAACGCGAGACATTTATGTAAACAAATGGAAATCACAACAGGAAAAAACACCGTAGAGTAATGTATTTGGGAAAATGTCTCCCAAACACTCTGAATAAAACGGACTGGCGTGTTTCTGCCTTTATAAAGGCTCGTTGTGTGTCTGAGAAGCTGAAAAAATCCATCCCATAATATTCTGTCTGTCTCCAGCGGTGAAGTGGAGCTCCATGCAGATGCGCAGGAGGCGGAGGCGGAGGCAGATCAGATGAAGGAGTTACTCCGCAGCTGACAGCGCATCGACGAGCTGCCGCGAGGGAACATTTCTATATGTGAGTGTCGTCTTTATTTGTGTAGCGTTCACTGTTTATTCCTGACGAGTGCATTATATTAGGAATGGGACGGTTAATGGTGAAAAACGAGCCGTTCGTTTCTGTTTTGGCAGTTTGGTGTACGCGTATGTACTAATAGGGTCGTTGTTTTATTCTTTCACATGATATGTTTGAGTTTAACAGTGAAGCGAGTGCTTTAAGTGTTTTTTGGTGGTAATATGTGTACATTATATCCCATAGATACATGTCGTCTTTCTCTTTAATGTCTGCTCAGCGCCTCTTCAAAGGCTCTCAGTCAGCGCAGGTGTATCCGTCCGCCGTATCCTGCCTAACCGTGTTTGTGCTGGCAAACTGCGCGTCTCCGTCTGAAATGACGAGCATGCGAGACTAAAATAAGAAAGACGCTTATCTGTGGGCCTCAAAGTGAATTTCTGGAGAGCCGCAGCTTTGCAGTTTTGCTCCAACCCTAATCAAACACAGCTCATCCAAATAATCTAGGTGTTGAAAAGAGTCCTGAACACCTTGATTAGTAGGATCAGGTGTGTCTGATTAGTTTTCGAGCAAAACTGTGCAGAGCTGCGGCTCTCCAGGAATCCAGTATGAGACCTAGGGACCCTGATATGGAATAAAATCACTGTCATAAATATTTTGTGCGTAAATAAAATTCACACATCTGTAATTATAAAAGCGTACAGTTAAACGGAGCGTACTCGTAATTTTACGAGGATACGATTCCAAAACCTGCGAACAGATACGACATTTTCTTTGTATACGACTGATAAATTTACGATGGGTGTACTTTACAAACACGAAATACAGTTTCAGCATGGACACGACGACCTGATTATGAGTACGAATCAAACAGCGACACTCCACTGTCAAAATTACGTCATCGCTGTCACAGGCATTAATAAACAAGCGAGAGCCATCGATCACAACGGCTCGCCTGCACAACAGAGCCCCCACACACCGTCTCAGGTATGAGTTTTGTTATTCCCTCTTTGAGAAATGTCCGTCATGAGCTGTAATAAAAGTTGAGACTTAAAAATTAAAATAAATAAAGTTAAAATTAAGAGTGGGATGAGGATAGTGAGCTAGCATGATGTAAGTTAACATTACAGGCAGCGAGCGCAGTATCAGTATCGCTTGTTTATTAATGCCTGTGACAGCGGCGACGTAATTTTGTCGCTAATACAGTTGCTGTTTGATTCGTACTTGTAATCAGGACTTCGTGTCCGTGGTGAAAATGTATTTCGTGTTTGTAAAGTACACCCATCGTAAATTTATTAGTCGTATACAAACAAAGAAAATGTCGTATCTGTGTCTGTTCTAATCACAGATTTTGGAATTGTACCCTCGTAAATTTACGAGTACGTTCCGTTTTCCTTTACGATTTTATAATTACATATTTTTATTTATGGACGAAATATTTATGACAGTGATTTTACTCCATACCCTGAAGCCCTTTGTTGCTGTGTTATCACGGTTATGGGCCTACCTTTGATTCTGTTCCTTCATGTTTTTTGTTCAAAAGTATTTTCATTGAACATGTTAGATATGAGCAGTACAAATAGCTTTTTTTCTTCTTCTCTTTTTACACAACAAACAAACAAAACCCGTCGCACCCATATACATTTTAACTCTGTAAAAATATATAAATAATATTAAGATAAAATACTAATAAATAATAATAATCATATCTTCTTCTTTATGTGGTCTAAAACAGGTTGCCAGGTGAGGAAAAACGCATCAGTACAGCCTCTCACAGTATATCGTACTGTTTGTTAAGTCAGGTGGTGCAGGAGCTCCAGTCATTGCTTAAAGGTTAGAGGAAATTTTTCCTTCCATTTCAGCAATATTAACCTCCTAGCTAAAAGCGTAGCAAAGGCAATCACACGTATCCTGCTTTTATTAAAACATTAGGACTGTGGTGTGATACCCAATATTGAAATGATGGCCTCAGGTTGTACAGTATATAGGTATTTAATGCGTACGAGAAATATTTATATATTAGCTGCCAGAATTCTTTTAATTTTGAACTAACCCAAATTATATGAGATATATGAGGCTCAGTATTACATCAGTCTAAATTAGGCTCTATATTCGGTTTAAATTTGGTTGCGTAACTGTTCTATCATGGTTTAACATTGTTATTAGTGTACGCAGAAGGACTTTTAATTGTCAGTGACCCAGTTAAAGCACTTCCTGTAAATGCTGTTACATAATCGGCTCGTTTAAGGTCTGTTTTCTTTCACAATCTGTGATCTTCACTGCCTGATTGATATGTGATATTAAGTGGGTCTCAGAATGAGCAAGAAATGTCTTTAAGATATGGAAAACGTTTGTGCTCCAGTATTTTCAGTGGAGTTTCTGTGCTCGCCTGCTGATCCTGACGGCGCATGCTCATGTGTGAACGGCTCTTCATCTCGCTTTACACTTGAGCAGCTAAATGAAGTCTATTGAACTGACTGTATTTTAATAATAGTACAGCATCCATGCTGTAAAAGGAACCGTTTAAAATTGAATAAAGCCATATAATCCATTCACCTTAAGTTTATTGGTAGAGGAAAAACCCTAGTTGTGCATATACACCATTTCTCCTCCGTTACTGCTGCAAAACTCTTATGCTTCAGCTTTTACTGGTTTAAAGGGGACCTGTTATGCTAAACTGACTTTCATAAGGTTTCATAAGTTGTCAGGTGTGTGTGAATAAACCAGCTTCTAATGCTAAAAAACATGAGTTGTATTTGTTCTGATCAGACTTGATATAAACCGTCTGCAGAAACACTTTGATTGACATTCTCCCTGTGTATGATGTCATCAGAGGGGGAAAGCTCCGCCCACTAGTGCTTATCTCTAGACTACAGTATTTTGACAGTGGTGTTTTCAGAAAAGCTGCATCTTTCCTTAATGACAGAGTGTGTTTGTGTCCTCTGAATAATTTGTACTAGTAGTTTTGAGGGTTTTTCTGTTTCTGCTTTCTGTTAATTACAGGATTTATTAAACGTGTGCAGTCTGAAAGAACTGATGAAGATGGAGTTCATCAAAGAGGAGAGCGAAGACGTGAAGATCATAGAGATGGTCACCATAAAATACGAAGATCCTGAGGAACAAGCAGGTTGGTCTTCATTCTCAAAGCTCAGCTCAACACTACACAAACACTAGTAATGCCTTCAGAAGAACAGCAGAACATGCGAGTTGGCCATGCGTTATTAGGACATGATATGCTGCGTTCAGAAAGAAATTAAAACTATTTAATACAGGGGTGCTCAAACTCAGTCTTGGAAGGCCGGTGTCCTTCATAGTTTAGTTCCAACCTCGATTAAACACACTTTAACCAGCTAATCAAGCTCTTACTAGGTATACTAGAAACTTCCAGGCAGGTGTGTTGAAGCAAGTTGGAGATAAACTATGCAGGATTGAGTTTGGACATCCCTGATTTAAGATCCAAACTAGTTAATATAAAGATTTGAGCTCTCAATACTGAGCTGCTAATCATTTGTAGGATTTGTAATCATTGGGCGGGATTTCAGATTGAAGTCATGGAATTTTGACCTGGCATTTTCCAGGCCTACACAAGTTTTGGAAAATCTGAAAAACCCACAAAGTTTTGGAAACGTCAATTAATAAAATTAATTTTAAAGGGATATCTTTATAGTTGAAAATGGGTTAATCGTCTACTTTTCTGTCTATGACTAAACTCCTGCTCTCACATTATTAGTGCTGCGTGAGCATTATCTAAATAAGTTTAACATATATATATATATATATATATATATATATATATATAAAGATTAATTTAAACTAAATAACAGGGTGTCCACTGGCTCTTAAAATGTCTTGCATTTCAAAAACTAAATTTAAGGCCTTAAGGTCTTAAATTCACTGAAATATGTGAATATATAGGTCTTAATTTTCCTCTAACCAAATAAAGCCACACAATCAGGCCGACATCCCTCCAATCACCAACAATCCATCCTATAAAACCTAAACCTAATCCTAATAAAAAAGTTTTTTATTGCAAAGAGATGCAATGTACAATAGCTGTTAGAAATATTTCACAGTGATTCCTCCAAATGAAATCCCAGATTCCCAGGGAAAATAAATCTAAAAACAATTACGCAGTTCCTCATGAAAATAACAGAGCAATATATCCCTTTACGTTGTTTTCCATTCTTGCAAAAACTCTCTACAGGAGTAAGGGGGGGTTAGACATAATATTAATAAATAGGCATGACACTTAAGGTTTTATAACAGAAACACATTAGGTTGAATAGAAGTTATAGTCAATCAATTTGGACCAAAAGCCAACAAATATATTAATTATTTATGTTTTAACTATGTTAAACTTGTCATTTTTTTTGTCAAAACTAAATATTATGTTGAAAAACCTGTGTACAACTAGAGTTTTCTTGTTTTTTTTAGACGTTAAAGTATGTTGCTAAGAAATAATAGGGTATATGCCCAAGCATGCTAATAGGACTTTTAATTTGCCAGTAACATGGGTTAAGCGCTTTTGGTGAACTGAATGCCAATGCAAAAGCCAGCGCTTTTAAAGTCAGTTTTCTTTTAAAATCAGCGATCTCCACTAGCTGAGTGATATCCGATATATCCCCCGCCATGTCTTTATAATATGAGCATTTATTTTACCCCAGTATATTCAGTGGAGCTTCTGCATTAGCCTGCCGATTCTGACGGGCGCGTGCGAGTAAACGGCTTTTTGTCTCGTTTTACGCTTGAGCAAATAAATGAATGCCAAAATTTATTTAACTGAATGTATTTTATTTACTTTACAACATCGATGCTGTAAAAGGAACCGTATAAATGAAAAAAGTTCACAATAACAGCTCACCGGAAGTTCATCAGTATGGGAAACACACTAGCTCCGCATTTACACTGTTATATTTGGTGGCAAGCGAAAAAAATCCATTTAGTGGGCCCACATGGATTTTTAGCCCATCATTAATTCTGTTTATTTACTTGAGTAAATGTGGGTAAATCTATATCTATTCGGTTTTTAAATTAACTACAGTATTATTATTGACTAATGTGAAAATGTCCATTAGATTTATGCACAATGCAGTTTGTACAGTCATATTTTCAGTCTTTTAGTAGAGATATTGTATGAGAGACTTGCTTTGTTTACTAAATAAAGTGAATCTTATTGGATTTGCATTTTAAACATTAAATAAAAGTTATAAAGGTATTATTTTTTATATCACATATTAAGCTTTTAGTTATGATACTCCCAAAATAATTCTGCTGAAATCCACAGATTTATATCAAAATTCTCCACAGAAACAGCAAAAGACGTCCACAGATTCCGTCTGGCCCTGGCCATTAGAAATCATCATCAGTGTTAAGTCTTGTATAAGCCTACAGTTTCATTCATAATGGTCCTAAAAAGTCTTAAATTTGACTTGATGACACCTGCAGAAACCCTGAAGTAGATTGTTGCATGATTTATGATCATGATTAATGCTGTAATAACTTTAAACATGCATTGTTTTTCTCTTATTTACCACGTGTACATAAACATTAATGAAACATTAGCTCATGAATATTGACTTCAAGTCTATGGAAAATTTATTAAACTTTGTTACACAGTGCTGGTCCTGGAGATCCACAGCTCTGCATTGTACTGTATTCCCCATTCAACATACCTGATTCAGTTCATCGGCTCATTAGAAGAAAGATTTGTTATTGTATCTGGGATCATTTTAAAGCAGAAATGCTAAAGCAGCCTGAAAAAATAAAACATTATTAATGAGCTCCGGGGACAGCATGCCAACACCAATCATCAGCTTTTAACAAGTGTAAACTCTTGAAATGCTTTCATATTGGTTGTCATGTTTGTTGTTTGTGTCTTCAAACTGTTTTGTTTTGTTACTTTAGACCTAGTGGAGCCGAAAGAAGAACCTCAGGAACTGATTGAAATGGAAGAGAAACCTCAGTGTGAGACGCAACACGTTTCAGCGACTGAAGAGCCACACACAGAGGCTACACAGACTTCCACACGCACCAGCAAATCTCCTCAGAAAAGCAAGCCTAGCAGTCTTTTCATTTGCTGTCAGTGTGGAAAGAGCTTCACTCGAAAACAATCCCTCGAGGGCCACATGAATCTCCACAACGGAGAGAAACCGTACTCGTGCCAACAGTGTGGGAAGAGCTTCAGGCAGAAGCCCAACCTAAGAGTTCACATGAGAGTTCACACTGGGGAGAAGCCTTACACCTGCAAACAGTGCGGGAAGAGTTTCAGCCTGGTCCAAGGCTTCAAGATCCACATGAGATCTCACACCGGAGAGAAGCCGTACGTCTGCCAACAGTGCGGTAAAGGTTTCAGTCAGATATCCTCCTTCAACTCGCACACGAGGATTCACACCAGAGAGAAGCCGTACTCCTGCCAGCTGTGCGGGAAGGACTTCAGTATAAAGCAGCACCTCAATGACCACATGATAATTCACTCCGCAGAGAAGGCGTTCGAATGCCAGCAATGCGGAAAGACTTTCTTCCTGAAAAGACACCTTAAAAAGCACATCAGGGTGCACAGCGGAGAGAAGAACTTCACCTGTCAGCTGTGCGGAAACAGTTTCACTCAGATGTACAGCCTTAAAAGACACATGAGGATTCACTCCGGAGAGAAGCCGTACTCCTGCCAGCAGTGTGGAAAGCGTTTCACGCAGAACAACAGCCTCGATATCCACGTCAGAACTCACACGGAGAGATCCTTCACCTGTCAAGAGTGTGGAGAAAGTTTTAACCTAAAAAGCGACCTTAATAACCACGTCAAGACTCACGGCGAAGAGAAGGCGTTTCCATGCGGTCAGTGTGAAAAGAGCTTCTCGCGTAAAGACAACCTCAATCGGCACATGAGGGCTCATATAAGCGAGTGTGTAATCAGTCTGGAATGAGCTTCCGTCATCATTTAACACTGGACGGCAGAGATGCCTGCCTCTAACCTCAACCCCCAGTGAAATCACTTGTAGAAGTAGTGCAGCAAGGAAGAACTGGAGCTCAAGCTCCCTCTTGCTGGAGCTCAGCTCTGCTCATGTGGCTCTGCAGTGAGTACCACTTGAAAATGTACAGTCTAATTCGGAATAGGAGTTTCTGAGCATTCATCTCCTCTTACTCTTCTTGATTGGTTAAATAAACAACTGCTGGTGTTGATCTGGTCTCTGAGTTCAGCTAAAGCCTAGTACACACTACATGACTTTAACCATTGAGAGATCCCTCTGCCGTACTTTTTTTTTTATTGCCTCTGGTAGCGACAAGCCATTATGAAAACGAAAAATGATTGGCAACATCTTTCAGCTTCTTTTTCACTTCATCGAATGACCTCAGAAGATGGAAATATGCCAGGGGTGCTCAACCCTGTTCCTGGAGATCAACCTTCCTGCAGATTTCAGTTGCAACCCATATCAAACACACCTGCCTGTAATGATCAAGTGCTACTTCAGGTCCTAATTACTTGGTTAATGTGTGCTAAAGGTTGGAGCTGAGCTCTGTAGGAAGGTAGATCTCCTGGAGCAGGGCTGAGCACCCCTGAAATATGCGATTCCTCATGTTTCAAAGCTGAATATTGTGCCTGGCGATCCTTAGCATAATCTCCTTGACTGGGTAGTGATGTATCCTTGCATTCATCATTTGTGGACACCTCTACAAAGTGCGATTTCATAAAGGCTGAAGATCGTTGATCACTTGCTGCGTTTCCCACAATCACAGCCCGATCTGGCATACAATTCTGCATAAGTCTCAAACTCAATTCCTGGAGGGCCGCAGCTCTGCACAGTTTTGTTCTAATCCTAATCAGACACACCTGATCCAGCTAATCAAGGTGTTCAAGACTACTCCTGAACAACTTGGCTGCGTCCGAAACCGCCTACTACTCAGTAGGTACTGCATTTGAATGTAAACGTACTACTCTGCTGTTAGAAAAGTGCGTTCCATACAGTGTGAATGTGAGAAGTATGAATGGAATTCGGACGTACTACATCCGCCATTTTGTCATGGTCACGTTACCTACCTGCGTCAGTTGCGTCGCTTTACTTCCATTCAATTCTCTCGCGGGGCATCATGGGATAGCGCAGCATGCATGGGATGCGCACTCCGGAATCTCGCCGGAAGTAGTAAGTCATCCGGGTATTTCTCGCATACTGATTTTCCAATTCTATGTATTCGGACATACTACTCGGCTCACATACTAATTTTGGCGTAATATAGTATGGAAGAATGTGGTTTTGGACGCAGCCCTTGATTAGATAGATCAGCTGAGAGCTGCGGCCCACCAGGAATTGAGTTAAAACTAGGCATTACTTGCCAAAACACTTGAGCTATAAAAGGATTCAGCCAATGAGTTTGTGAGCCTTTGTTAACCCCCATCTGAAAGTACACCAAAGGAGGGATATAAATGATGACTGCTCCACGATTGGCAAATATCCTATATGTTATAGTGAGTAATAAAGTAGAATTTGTCTTTAAGATCAGTGGTGCCCGAACTCGGTCCTGCAAAGGTTATTTCCACCCAGGGCTTAATTTGCGCCGGAACACTTCATTTTAGCGATCCCTCTCCTCAACCGCCCTCCTCCCCCGTCCCCTGTTCACTTTCACTTTCTTCCATGACTCCCCAACCATCTTCATTTTTGTCTGTGACAACACCCTCCACACTACGCGACACCTCTACATCCTCGAGTAACATGCCGGATCAGTTAGCCCGATTTTTTCGGGACCTCACAACAGGTTCCAACCCCAATCACACACACCACGGCTGCGTCCGAAAACGCCTACTACTTAAGTAGGTACTGCAATTGAATGTAAATGTGAATGTATGAATGTGAAAAGTATGAATGGAATTCGGACGTACTACATCCGCCATTGTATCATGGTCACGCGACTTACCTGCGTCATTTGCGTCGCTTCACTCCCATTCATGAATTCGCTCGCGGGGCATCATGGGATAGCGCAGCATGCATGGGATGCGCACTCCGGAATCTTGCCAGAAGTAGTAAGTCATCCGGGTATTTCTCGCATACTGATTTTCCAATTCTATGAATTCGGAGATACTACTCGGCTCACATACTGATTTTGACGTACTATATAGTATGGAAGTATGCGGTTTCGGACGCAGCTCAGACCTATCAAGCTCTTACTGGACTTTCTAGATATATCCTTGCAGGTGTGTCGAGGCAAGTTGAAGCTAAAATCTGCAGGACACCGGCCCTCCAAGACCGAGTCTGGACACCCCCTGGCTTAGATCATATGATGACTTTGGTGCAGTTGTCTCAAACTCAATTCCTGGAGCTCTGCACAGTTTAGCTTCAACCACCTCGACTCAAACCTGCTCAAGAGTCTCTAGTAGTCTTGATTATTTGGATCAGCTGTGTTTGATTAGGGTTGAAGCAAAACTGTGCAGAGCTGCGGCCCTCTAGGAATCCAGTTTGAGACTATTGCCTTAGTGCAGGGATGTCTGGACTCGGTCCTGAAGCGCCGGTGTCCTGCAAAGTTAGTTCCAACCCCAATCAGACACAGCTGGCGTAGCTAATCAAGCTCTTACTAGGCTTTCTAGAAACATCCTTACAGGTGTGTTGAGGAAAGTTGGAGCTAAACTCTGCAGGACACCGGCCCTCCAGGACAAAGTTTGTACACCCCTGCCATAGTGTCATCCCTCTTCAGAGTAAAACTGGAATTCTATGTGTGCCCTTGCTTTTTCTGAATGCCAAATTAGTTATTTCACAGAGACCTCTCATGTGTAACTGGATGTTTGATGCTACCTGAACAGCCGTCGCTAGATGTGAATTTTACTGAGTGAAAGAATTC